CTCCTAAATCCTTTCGAACCACCTGACACCCAATTGCTTATCACACCCTTCCAAACCTTACGGCTCCCAAGCCCTGCAAAACTTGACATAGCTAAGCCCCCATATAAAAAAACGGAGGTATGAATACACATATATATATATATTCTCCATTGTGGCTCCTTTGGGGTTCATATTCAGAATCCCACAAGGCAATCCCAAAAAGGAACTACCATGGAGCCTATGAATACTTCGTGACCCTGCCTCCTTCTACCCCGACACCCGGCGTTTAATTACCCTAAGGCTCTAAGGACTCGTATTTTAAGGCTTCCGGCCTAATGACCATATCATATAAGGCTTGAGCCATTTTGAGCCTTAATGTTAGCAATGACAATGCTTTTTGGCCCCTTTACTCGATAAGTGGTGGATGGTTGTCAGAATTATGGTCCCTGCTATGGTCCCTGATATAATACGGCAGCTAATATTTTAGGGTACCCAACAAGGAACCCTCCTATAGTACCCTGAATAGTAGGATCCTTATTAAAGGACCCCAGAACAAGGTACCCCTAATTTTCGGAAACTCCCATGTAGTTTGGCCCCTGTACTCGATGAGTAAGGTACGGCCCCCATACAGTAAGAGTCTATAATAAGGCTGATATTAAGGACCTCATATATCTATATTATGAATATTATTCAACTATAACTGAGCGGGGGCCGTACCCAATCGATGAGTGGTAAGACCAGGGAGCCCTCGGATGATGTTCGAAATCGTCACGTTGTTGCAGCCGCCTGAAGGGATAAGCCCCAAGGGCCTTATTAATAATTAGAAAAGGGTTTTCGGGCCCAGTATACTATGATTATAATAAGGAACTCCCCAAATTCAGAATAGGCCCCGATCGTATTCACAAACAAGACTTTTGGGCGTTTCTAAGGGAAAGCTGCGCCACCCAAATGTACTGCTGCAATCCTACAAAAACCCTGCAACGTTTTCTTCCCGTTAGAGAAGACCTCCATCCCTGAAAGAAGGTAGCGTAAGTTGTGATAAAAACGCGGTGATTCCCTGCTTTGAGTCGCGGCGCGTCGGCCAATGAAGGATACGGCACACCCGGCAAAAAACCGGGCTTTCCAGTTCACACAAGCCATAAACAACCCTTCTAAACTTCTGAAGCCTTCAAACAAACTACCGTGAGGGGCTCTGGGGCTAACGCTGGGCTCCTGACACGCTAACCTCTAAGCCTGATCCCGATAGCACCCCGAAACCCCTAGGCCTTACACCCCAAACCCTACGACGCTCAAGCCCCACCACCCGCTAGATTGAAAATGCTCCTTGAGTCTATAAACCCCTAGCTCTATAAACCAGAACACCGCAATACCCTTCTCGCCACATTCTAAACGCCTTAAAGCCCCATGTGGCTCTTGAAACCCGTGAACCCAAAACCTCCGAAACCCCCTAAAACCCCAAACCAAAGCCCTTCATCTTTAGTAAGCCTTACAGAGATCCTTTTCGAAAACCTTAGAATCAAGCTTCCACCCTTAACCCTAAACTCACTAAGCCCCTATACAACCGCACTGAGCCCACTAAATCCTAAACCCCCTAAACCCCAGCGAAATCCCAAACCCCACTAAACTCACAGACATCGGGGCTCCGAACTCACGGAAACCACGGGCGTCTGCTGCGCCCCCGCGGCCGCAGCCGCCGGCCGCGGCATCGCCAGGCCGACCGGCCGGGGACTGCGAAGCGGAGCGCTTGCTGTTCTTTCTTTGTTGCTGCTTGGGGTTTGGGGTTCTTCGAGATTTAGGTTTAGGGTTTTAACGTTTAGGGTTCTTCAAGGTTTAGGTTTAGGGTTTAGGCTTTCTTTGATTTGTTGTTGTTGTTGTTGTTGCTGTTGCTGTTGCTGTTGCTGCTGCTGCTGCTGCTGCTGCTGGTGCTGGTGCTGGTGCTGGTGCTGGTGCTGTTGCTGGCGCTGTTGCTGTTGCTGTTGCTATTGCTGTTGCTGTTGCTGTTGCTGTGGCTGCTGTTGTTGCCGTTGTTGCTGTTGTTGTTGCTGTTGCTGTCACTGTGGCTGTTGCTGTTGCTGTCGGTTGCTGTTATTGTTGCTGCTGTTGTTGCTGTTGTTGTTACCGTTACCGTTAGTGTTGCTGTTGCTATTGGTGCTATTGGTGCTGTTGCTGTTGCTGTCGTTGTTGTTGTTGTTGCTGCAGCTGCTGCTGCTGCTGTTGTTGTTGCTGTTGTCGTTGTTGTTGCTGTTGTTGCTGTTGTTGCTGCTGTTGTTGTTGCTTTAGGAGTTTAGGGTCCTTCAAGGTCTAGGTTTAGAGTATACTGATATGATTAGTAGTGAGACTATTTGACTCTCTCTCCCTCTCTCTCCCCCTCTCTCTCTCTCTCTCTCTCTCTCTCTCTGTGTCTCTCCATCTCTCTCTCTCTCTCTCTCTCTCTCTCTCTCTCTCGCCCCTCTATATGTATGCATGCATGTGTGTATGTCTGTATGTATCTATGTGGACTATCCACCGCAGGCGAATACATTTCATTATGCTGCTGCGCCCCTGGCCTGGTGCCCTGAATCCTGAACCGGATACCCCAAACCTTGAACTCTGGATCCTAAACCCAATACCCTATAGCCTCTATACTCCCTAACTGTTACCCCTCAACCCGTGCCCGAAATCCTAAACCCCCAACCTTGAACTCTAGACCCTAAACCCCTAGACCCTACGACCTACTCCCTAACCACTACCCCTGAACCGGGAGAGGGTACCTGACACCTGGCCGTACGCCACCGGCAAAGGCCGCAGCCTTGTGGTTCTCTACGTTGAAAGGACCGGGGCTTAAGCTTCGAAGTTTAGGAAAGGGTTTGTCAGGCTGGGTAAGGATTCTCTGAGAGTTTTCGGGGTTTATGAGTCATATATATATATATATATATACATATATATATATATAGATACATACCGAAGCTCATGTAGGGTTTAAGGTCGAGGTTTGCATCTTCCGGGCTTTGACGGTAGCGTCGGCATTCAGGTGGTAGAGGATTAGGCTTGCTGTTGGAGCTTGAGGCCTAGGTGTAGAAGCTCACCCAAGGCCATGCTCGATGCCCTCGATCGATGATGCTGCAGGTTGCGCCGGTTGCTTGGGCTCCGCAAAATTACTGTACTTATGCCTAAACCTGAGTCCTTCAACATCTCTAAACCCCATGCAGACCCTATCGACCGAAAGCGTCACTCTATCATCGTGTTTTGCTTCAGCCTGATCCTCAGTATCGACTCATCAGAGGTATCAACACTAACAGTACAGAGTTTAGGGTTTAGGTTTTAGTTTTGTTTAAATTAAGGCTCCATGTGCCCAACTAGTATAGCTACTTCAGTGCTACAGTTAAAGTATATACTATTTGGCTGCACAGGCTGTTGAGGAACAACAGCAACATCGACCTGACTGTCAACATCCCTGTTGTCACCGTCGCGGGTAGCGGCGGCAGCAACGCTACCATGACCATGCAGGGAACAAGATAGCTCTGCAGGCAACGTGGACAAGGTTGACATCATTGGCTTCGGGAGGCGACAGCTTCTCATGTTCAGCTATCACACTCCACAAGCAAATGATATCTGAACGAAAGCTCAGAGCCACCCTCCTAAGCCTGAACAGCTCTAAACCCTAAACCCTAAACCCTAAACCCTAAACCCTAAACCCTAAACCCTAAACCGCTCTAAACCCTAAACCCAAGGGCCCTTCGTCCCGGAGAAACCCTGAACGCTAAACCCTAGACTGCGTATCTCTTGCAGCAAGACACCGGGCCCTTGCCACGTGCTTGCGCTTGCCAGTTCCACGCCATGGCTGAAACCCGGAATTATACGCAAGAGCCGTAGATTTGAGGGTTACCGAGACCTCAAAGCTTTCCTCTATGGGCTCCTTTCAGGGTTCCGGGGGTTCCTGGGGTTCCTTTATGAGCTTCTTGTCTCTGTGGCCCCGAAGACTTCACATTCCGGGCTCATGCTCGGCTGCTGGGCTACGAAAGGATCCGGGAGTCGACTCTCTGAGGCGTATAGGGTTTAGGATAGTTTGGGGCTTACCCTACCCTAAGGCTCCAAAGTAGTTCCCTTTTGGGGTTCATATATAATCCGATAAGGTAGTCCCAAAAAGGAACTACTATGGAGCCTCTGGGTAGAGCGTCAGGGCATGCTTTCCGCTGGGCGTTGTGGCTCGTCATGGTTGAAGCGTCGCAGGTGGAGCTCGCTGCTCGACGATGCTGTGTTTGTCTTCTTGCTGAGCATGCACGGTGCGGCGGCCGGACTGACCGCAAACGCAAAGAGCAAAGCCTTATCGTCTTACATAGGTAAATTATACCCAATCGTACTCTACTCACCTAGTCAGTACCGACAAATTGCAGTCCTGCTTCTGCCTCATTATACGACATCGATGTAACCTGGCAACGCTATCCTTCGGCACAGGTGCGATCGTTGGTGTCACGCAGAAACTCGATGATACGGAGCCTTTCGGTATTCTACACTGGACTTTGAAGTAACCAGGGAGAAGAAGCGTACACTTAAACTTTTAAAAGCATGATGGTTCCTTTAAGGACCTTAAAGGTCCTAAGAAAGGAACTCAAGTATAGTACTCCAGAGCCCAGTACACAAGACCCTCAATCCCGAGATCCTGACCACTAGCAAAGCCGTGAAAGTCCCGTCACCTCTCCTTAGAGGGTTTAGGGTTTAGGGTTTAAGTATTTCCTGGAGACTTGGAGAAGCCTTCAAGAAGCTAGTCTCACAAAAAAACCACGCACTGCAAGTGTCTTTGCCCGTGTCATCGCCACAATAAAACCCAAACACCGGGCCGAAAACCCTCCTTCCTGTAGCCCACTTCAACCCATGCTCAACTAGGTTGGCCCGTGAGACCCTCGGGGAAGACATGTTCCGAAATATGGCTTGACCAACAAGAAAGAAATGTCCCAAAGGTCTACCTAGTCAATTCAATGCGGGTTTAAGTAGAACTATAATTCCAAGCAGCTTCAAGCCCAAGCAGTTCTTCAATTCAAGGCCTGCCACCACAACTTCGCGCACTTCCTCCACGCACGGCTGTGGCCTTGGATGGGCTGCGGAGGGCTGAAGGTTCTAGACTTTAGTGGTTCATAGGGCACCCTAAACCCCCGCAAAACCTCAACCCCACATGAAGAATTCTAGCCCCCCCGAATCTCTGATGTAGGCCCTTCATAAGTAGAATTTTGTTCTGGGTATCATTCTGGAAGAACTATAGCAAGTAAACCGCAGCAGTAGTGCTGGTAAGTTACTCACCCATGAACCCCTGAAGCGGCAAACCGTGTTACGAGGTTCCCACGTAGCCCCCTGATCATGAGGATACCCTGTTGCAGAAGGGAACACATAAAACAAAAAGAAAAAATGCTAAAGAGTACTGGGGAACCTAAGAAGCTCAGCCCCAAGTGTGTCAGCTCTTAAAGTCCTGCCGGAGCGCTAAACTCTGCAATCCGGGGGCCTTCACAGCTAGAATCGGGTTTCGGGTTTTTTTAGCTTTTTTGGGGGAAACTTTCAGGGGATATGGTTGTTTACGATTGAATCCTGCAACGCAGGGTGGAGGGTGTGCAAGGGCACCGGACACACTTGTTTCGGGTTATCGCTCCGTAAAAAACTGTGAACAGCACCAAACTCGAACCAGTGGAAAAAGGGGAGGCAGCGTTTAGGGTCTTGGACTTTGTCATACCCTAAACCCTAACCCCTATCCCAAGTTCCAAGCCGTCAACGCCAAAACCCTAACCCCAATTCCATAATATACTATAGAATACTCGACTATACTTTAATGTACTAGTTTAGGGCTCTCTTCCTTCAGCGCTTGCCAGGGCCCCAGCACGCAGGAGCCGCCATCCACGACGAGTTCGCCGAGGTAGCATGTGGTGTTAATGACCTGAAGCAGCCCAGAAGCTTGGGCTCTGGGTTTAGATTACGGTTGAGCTTTTTGCGGTGCGTTTTGACTAGGTTCCTGAGTAGCCCCTTTATAATAAGGGCACCTTTTTCTTACTATACGGTTTTGATAAGGGCAACCGACAAGAAAAAGTGCAAAAGGGTACTACTCAGCGACCTAGTTGATGGCCTCACCCTGAAACCTCTTGGGCTGGCACTCCCTTGTAGCCTGACTGCAGGTTGGAACAGTTGTCCCAAACGAAGTGCTCTCTGTGGACCAGCTCCTGCATCTCTTGAGCCCTGGAGCTCGAAACCCAACCCTAAACCCTAACAAAAACCTAAATCTTGAAACAATTTGTTTCTTGAAGCCCCCTAAACCCTAAACCCTAAACCCTAAACCCTAACCCTAAACCCTAAACCCTAAACCGTCTAGAAGGGTAGGGCTCGAAGCCCGCTGTAGTCTCCAGTATGTGTCGTCTGTATAGACATGCAAACTTAATGCCAATGCCCGTATACTGTATGAACCTGTAAGGATGGTAACGAAAGCACAACACACATGTGGCTACATGGCTGTGTCACCATGCATATAAACAAACGACTAGCTTTTGTGTATATGTATACTGTTGATGATATAAACCCTGCATTACCCATAATAAGGATTACTCCATAATTCCCATAGTTTAGCGTCCTTAAGGTCATGCAGGATTTATATCATCAACCGTATGTATGTTCGCAGCTTCGAAGTCTTCAAGGGCGCAGAACCCAGGAATCCCTTTACTCGGCTCCAGCAGTGTAGTCATGGGTAAGCAGTCAGAGACATTGTGGGACATGTTGTCAAAGATGCTTGTCTTGCAAAGGCGCCTGAACTGTATACGTCATGTGATATGCGCAAGAAAACAATGACGACATGAGCCGGTGCCGACGAGAACAATGAACAGGCGGTGGCATTGTGTATCTACCAAGTCTCTCTCCACATCGTGCGTTGCACCTCGCGTACGTACAACACAACATAACACCAGGACAATACCTACCTACCTCCATACATACCACATCCATCCAAGCGTGCATGCAGAAAACAAATATTTGCACAGGTTTTCGTGTGAATGAACCAATGCCCGTGTTCATGCAAGCTTTAGTTGACTACGTAGTTGCGTAATCCAGAATGATATAACATACACTTTTTATTGAATATTATAGTAAAACATCTTGGTCTCCATGGTTGCGTACTTGCACACTCCTGCGAGAGCCAGCGACCTCGGCCGAGCCGAGAGAAGGAAGTCGCGACAGAAAGAGCAAGAACCCCTTCGCCCCGCCCAGACTTCGCCAACCACTCACACCCGCCAGGAATGCTGCTTTGGCTTACACGCCCGAAAGCGGCGGAAGCCCTCGTACTTGACATCCCCAAGCCTCGAACACAAAAATCGCAAATAACCTGCTATCCGCTCTCCTGCTCGGTCGTCACAGTGCCAGTGGCGCCGCCGACGATAATCTGCATCCAGGCTTCGGTTGCTGTTTAGCACTGCTGCCGGAGAGTGTCGGGTGGAATAGAAGCATTGGCTTAAGATGATCGCCACAACCATAATACAGGCATACTGTACTTACAACTGATGATACCTGTTGGACGTTCGTTACCTGCCACCTTAATCATCACGCGACAGTAGCCTGCTGCGGCTCTCCTGACACAGAAGCTCGATCTTGCTCACATTTCGAAGCTACAGCCATTCTGCGGTGGAAGGCTCCACCTCGGTCAGACGTGACTCAATCTTGGGTTCAGCAAATGTACAAGGCCTGGTGTATTTCCCGAGTCTCGCCCGTCACTTGCCCTAAGGGTCCTGGACCATTCAGAGGATAGAATTTGGGGTCCCAAACTATAAGGGTCGAAGTACCTAGTAATCAAGTACTCTCCGAACTACCAGCCTCCATCTATGTCTATGTATATATGTATATATACACACACATACACATCCTCAAACCATGTACCCGACTTTGGCGTCCTTTCCCATGGCAGCAGAACTCACATCCGAAGTGCCTGCTGCGCAGGAGTAGAAGATGAACATCCACGCCTTAGTTCGCAGTCTAGTAGCAAAGATGATGCTAACAACAACAAGCATGACAACAACTTCACTTCGTCGTCTCTGAGAAAAAGCAGGACACGGAGAAGCCAACAAGAAACTGCGCAGGTTTAGGGCCCTATGGACCGCTTCAGGGGTTTAGGGTTTAGGGCCTTCGCCACCATCCAATGCTGGTCCCTCTTGTGATCCTGAAGCTAGCCTGTCTATGCTCGAAGCCACCGGTGAACCATAGACGTGGGGGGCCCCTTAACCCTATGTGACAAGTATGCTTTTGACTCAATGCAATATCCGATATCTACTATAAGAGATAAGCTATTGCTATACTAACTGTTGCGCTTAGCTGCTTAAATATGGCTGGGACAGCTGGGACACCGTTGCAAAGCTCGGCGACAAGCAACTGCCGACACGCCCCTGTCCTGCTTACTTTTCGTTAATTACATCCTGTCTTGAAAGACTAGATTCTAGATTTCCACGATGAATCCTGAACACGATCTCCAAAACTGCTTCCTGGAACAAGACCCCGATCCTGCATCCGCAAAGCGAAGTCCAAAGCCTTTCTTGTCACATCCCTCGCCCTCAACATCTAGTGATTAGGTTGTAGGGTGTATAAACGGTGCCTTACACTTCGAATAGGTACATGGGCCATATATTCGAGCTCAGTGAAAATCACTTAACCAGTGACTCTAAGGGTGTATTACAGTAAACCCCATAAAGTTGGAAACCGGATGAAGGCCAAATAGTGCTGGGATTCCCTCTACATTACTCTTAAGGATGGAGGCTATGGGGTTTCCAACTTTTGGGCTTCTACTGTACCCTGTAGTATTCGGAGCCCCTCTTTTCTGGTTCAGGATTTCACCCTGAACCCCGAGACCCCCCCCCCCCCAGAGCGCAGCCCAGCGTCGCCATGCAAGCGCTGGAGTTCGCTTTCAAGATTCCTTCGTGCTGCCGAAGGCTCTTTGCATTTGTGGCTTCTACTTGGAGGGTCAGGGGCCTTAGTAAGTAGGTAGTAAGTAGACTTATAAGTACCCTAAAAGGGACCCTAATTGGGGTTATGGTACTTATAAGTCCCTAAAATAACCAGTTACTAAGTCCCCCGACCCTCCAAGTACCTTAACCCCAAGCAACCTAGCTTTTGAAGGACTTGTATACAGAATTCATCATTTTCGGAAACCCTAAAAAGGTGGCTTCCTGTTTAGGGTCCAGGTAAACCCTGAAAAAGCATGAACTTCTGAAGCCTGAGCCTACCTTTTTTTGAGGTTCTTCGTTGGTTCTTTCACTAGGATGCCCAGTAACCTTTAGCTCCCTTTTTGGTATTGGGTACCTTTATGATATACGGAACCTAGGACTACAAAAAGGGAATAAGGGTACTACGGTACTACTGGGCATCCCGTCTCAAGCACTTTCAGGCTTCTTCTACGGGTTCAGGGCCAATTCCTCTGTCGTTGGGGCTAAGGAGGGCCCTATGATCACGAGGCATCTTTGGGGTGCTATCGACACATTCTTCGATGCACTTCAGGCTGAGTGAAAGCCCTCAAACTCCTATAGCTGGATCACCAAAAGCTTTCGGAACCCTAAACCCTAAATCCCAAATCTTATACCCTAAACTCCCATCAAAACCACCCAAAGCTGCCAAGACGTGCAAAACGGATCGATGACCTTTCACCCCGAAACACCGCACGCAGATAGCCTACAGCTTTCAGCCCGAAGCCCTTAAAGCTTAATCCGCGGCCGAAGGGTTTAGGCTTTAGGGGTTTAGGGATTTAGAGGTTTAGAGTTTAGGAGTTTAGGGTTTAAGCTTATTAGGGTTTAGGTAAGCAAGCGAAGAATCAACCCCCAAACACCGAACAAGATGTGGGAGCTGTTCCAAATCGGGGTCCTCGTGCATGCAGTGATAAACTGCACATTAACCGTTCAAGGGTCAAGAACAACGTAAAGGTTACTCTAAACCCGAAATCCCGGACATTCTAAATCCCAGCCCAAGGGAACAAACCCTCCGTATACTCATCACCCAGGCTCCTGTAGGTTTCTTTAGTAAGCCCTGAGCCCTAAAGCCCCAAACCCAAGCTTCCGTGATCTGGCCTCCGGTACAGAGCACCGTAAGGCTACCGTCGTGGCCGGGTACCACCTGCTAGCAGCAGCGAATGCCCTAAGGTTTCTTTAAAGGTCCCTTTAAGGGGAACCTTATTGATAGAACCTTATAGTACTGTTCAATGGGACCCCGATTATAGAACCCCATAGTACCCGCAAGGATCTCCAAAAGGGCTTCTTAAAGCGTCACATTCGCTAGAGATGTATCATAACGTTTCTGTAAGACTTCCCTTAAGTGTGACTATACGGCTTGCCAACAAGGTTCGAATCACGAGGGGCCTTGAGGTGAGGGACTTGAAGGCTTTCGGTGAGCCTTGTTGTAAGGGGTACCTCAACAGTTCCCCTGAGGGTCCATGTACTCATATAGTATATACATTGGCCTTAAAGTATTCCTTATATAGGTACATTGGGTCCAAAGTATAGGCTATATCGGTACATGGACCCTTAGGGTTCTATAAAGGGAAAGCCTACAAACGCCTATATGCCCGAGACATTTCTGAGACGAGTCCCCCGCATCATTGCAGGCCACGATGGTGGAATTCCTCAGTACATCCAGGGCACATGCCGCAATCTCAGGCACAAGTACGAGGAGGCAGAGAAACCATGTGAAGAGGATCCCAGCAACGACACTAGCACTTTCATGCGGTGAATCTCAGCTCAGATAACCCCTAAACCTCAACCGAAAACCCTAAGCTAAACCAAAACCTCATCTGCTCAAGACTGAAAGCAAAAAGATCGAGCCCTGAGGCCGTCCACGGGTCCTCACCCTCGTAGGCGTTTAGGGGTCTAGGGGCTTGGGATTTCGAGGCTGAGGGTTCAGAGGTTGAGAGGTTTAGGGGTTTAGGGGTTTTGGCTTTCAGGGATATTTGGGGTTTAGTGTTTAGGGGTTCAGGGGTTTCGGGTAAACTCCAATCGGTCTCGGATTGGGTTCGAAGCTCCCACGCAGCCTTGCATATGAAGCCCCCAGACATCCCTGCACGAAAAGCCCTTGGCCTAGACCCTAAACCCTGAGCAAACAAATGAACTCATATATGAAGCCCCCTGGAAAAGCTCAGTGCAAGCAGCCGGGAATTTGTTTAATCTGTCTGAAGCTCTAAACCCTACATCCTAGCAACGCGGAGCCCCGGGATTCTAAACTCTCGAAACTACCCAGAGGCACCAAAGTAGTTCCTTTTTGGAGTTAACCTACAGGATTCTATATATGAACCCCAAAAAGGACCTACTTTGGGGCCCGTGGGGAGTCCCTGAGCCCTTCATCTTTCGCCGGAGTGTCAAAGATCCTAGTGCTTCGGCAACGGCATACTCGCGACGATATCCGGACCTCAAAAAGGCGTCCAGGAGGCCAGGCTGGGGTTTTAGGGTTTGGGCGGTTCAGGGTTTAGGGTTTTAGGGTTTAGGGTTTAGGCTTTGGGGTCGAGGTCCAAGGTGTTTGAGGTTCGGCATGGTTTCGGGGGCTCTTAGAGGGGGTTTTGGATCAGTTCTAACTACAGGGCTTGATCTGGGGTAGCTTTCTGGGTGTACTCCGAAAAGATCAGGGACGCAGAAAGTGCGGCTCTGAGCAAGACAACCATGGCTGTCTACTTAGAACTCAGTAGAGGCACCCAGAAGTACTTCTAATGGCCTTGTATGGCATGCAGCGTCAGGGGTATGTCTGGGTGCTCAGGGTTTAGGGTTCAGGGACCATGGGAGACCTGTGTGCATAATACTGTTACCGAGATAAGGAATGAATCTTACCTATTACGTCTCTCCATTCTGGCAACTTAAACGAACGTCCCTTGCCGGACTCTCAAACCCCACACCCCGAAGATTACAGCATATTACCACATGTAACGTAGAGGCCTTAACAATTAGAATAGGGTTTGGGGGCATATTAAAGTATACATAATGTAAAAATGCGCCTATAAAGACACGATGCTAATTACTTAGGTCGCTAGAGTAGTACACGGGGAGTCCTCAAAAGCGGATGGTCTCTGCTCCCATTGTGGATTCTACCATCTGAAGTGAAAACATGGAATCGCTGGAGGCTCTGAAACTCCCACATGGGTGGTTGTCAAAATTATGGTCCCTTTTTGAGTCCCTATTATAATACGGCACCTATTGTTTAGGGTGCCCAAAAAGGGACCTTAATTTTGACAACCACCCACACGACATGAAGGCAGGGTTTCAACACAAGCCCCCAAAATGACTTAACCCGCTCGAGAGAGCACACACCCTCGAAACCTGCACCTAAAAACCCACCAAAAATTCGAAGCCATCAAACATCCCTAAATCCCTAAATAACTAAGCAACCCTAAACCCCAAACACCTAAACTCCTTAGCCCTCCCTTGTCGACAAGCGGCAGCTCGGCGATGAAGCTGTCTCCACTCTGGCAGGGTGCCGTGCTGCAGCTTTGATCCTGATCAAGCGCTGTAACCTAAATCCTAAACCCAAACCCTCAAAGGGGAAAAGGAGGAACCCTTAATGGGGACCCCTACCCTATAACGGGCTATATGATAGGTATATAATAGCTATATTAAGGGTATATACCTAGGGGTCCTTATTAAGGGTCCCTCCTTTTACCCTTGGAAATCCTGGATCCAAAAGTCCAAACCCTACATCCTAAACTCGAGACAGCAAAGGGTCCGAAGATACTTTTGGTCCAGGGCTTGTGGTACAAAGAGGGCGCTTCAGGAAACGGTGGGCACTACAATGTAACATAAAGATTCAGACCCTTATCAAACAGACCGCCAAACAGGACTGGTCCTGACAAACCACAAAACTTACAGGTTCACTCATACCAGTCCTAAAAGGAAGACTCCAACATGAAAGGACATAAGGAAGCCGAAAGCCCCAACCCCTGCACCCCAAGCAGATTGAGGAGCAAAGCTTTATGAAACATGAGCTGATTGGTATTGCGCTTTAGGGCTTTAAGGTTTATGATGCGGACACTGGTAACAGCATAAATAAAACGAGGATGTAGGTAGTAACAGCCGCAATCTTCGTGGCAACAGAAAAACAGCAATGATAATGAAGAATAAGGACACTAAGACCGAGAACGAGGATCATCATCATGACATGTACACTATCCTTGCGCAGCCTTCTGTCTTCGTCTGGGAGTACTCTACCCATGCTGGCCAGAGTCACTGTCAAGATAGATCGAGACACTGAGCCTTAAATCCTTATAATGTAGGGGCCTGAATAATTGAATTCGGGTTTTGCGGGATATTTTCCAATAATTATCTATACTAAGGAACCCACGAAAAAGTTATTCTAATTATTCAGGCCCCATATTACCCGCAATATTTGTAAACACCGCTCCCCTACACCCTTGGAACTTAAAGGGAAGTGAAGGTCCGATGGCCTCGCATGTGCATCCGCTGATGTCCAAGGACAGCGCCTGGAAATGCAGAATTTGTCGGCTGAAAGTGACTTCCTAAGGTTCTTTTTTTTTTAAAAAAAGACTTCCTAAGGTTCGGTTAAAAAGGATTGGAAGTGAGGTTTGAGAGATATTAGGGCACAGGCTCTTGGATTTTACCCGAAGATGTCGACAGCAATAGCGGCGAAAGCATCCTAAACGCCGGCGTCTAGCGGGATCTCCCACATAGGTACTTAGGATACTCTGTGCACTGGGACACTCTGGCTTTTGAACCAGCTGCACTGCTGGAGACCCGGTGTGGCAGCGCTGATGCTTGAACCAGTGCTGCGAGTGTCGGCCTTTTTGCTCCACCCAGTACGAATAGCGGCCTGAGGAATCAGACTAAGGCTTTGGGGCATGCTACAGTTGTATATGGACTAGGATGAGACATTGTTTGTTAGCAGTTATTCACACGTACACTACAAGTCAGACACCGATGGAATATCGGTTGAGTCGTAAGGTGGATTCCGTTTAGTTCCTGAAGACTGAACGTCTGCCCAACTATCCCGATTGAAAGAGGATCGTTAAAGCAAACAGAAACATCCAACACCCTGAATGTGGAAAGTCGAAACCCTAAACCCTAAACCGCGAAAGTCTTAACCAATGAAGCAAGCTTTTTGGCTGAGCGGGCTGCAGATGCGAAACAGCTGATGTCGATGATTCCGGCCTCAGTGAAGTCTCATTATGGCTTTGCAGTTCACCCTTAGGGTTTAGGGTTTAGGGTCTTTAAGGTTTAGGGTAACTTGTTTGAGGACATATGCAAGGAAATCATGACAGGCAACCCTAACTTTACAGGGCTCTGCAGTTTCGGACTTCATACAGGGTTTAGGGTGTGGGGGGCTTTGGAGGTTACGCAGCAGCGAACTATCCCCAAAAGGTGAACAGCATGCTCGCTAGTCTTTAACATAACCAAGGCCCAGAGACTCCAATATCCCTTAATTCAGGAATATACCTTAAATCATATTAAGGATCCCTAATCTGATTTAAGGAATATTCCCTAATTAAGGGATATTGGAGTCTCTGCGGGCTTGTCGTTTAGGACCTGCCCCAAACCGATAGGAGAAACCAACAACTCGAGCTTTGGACTTCCAGGAAGCTGTCACAGCCCTGTCAATGTATCCACGGGTAAAAGCAGGGACCCTTAATAAGGATACCCATTATATAGCCCATTATAGGGTAGGGGTCCCCATTAAGGGTCCCTCCTTTTCCCCTCGGAACGTAGGAAAATGAAAAAAGAAACCCTGGGTCTCTGCTAGGTTCGAATCCCCAGAATTTACGGGAACAAATAGGTTCCTGAGTGGCCCCTGTATGAAAAGGGTACCCTTGTTCCTACTATCTGGTTTTCATGAGGGAACCCAAAAAGGAAAAAAGGACAAACGAGTACTAGTACCACTCAGGAACCTACTTGGAGGTTCATGGGTAGTTATAATGGGCTTATAAAGCCCCTAATATGGGTTATAAGTATGTATAGCTACCCTACTTACAACCCCACTTATAACTACCCATGAACCGTGAACCCTATACCCTTATAGAATCCCTAGAGATCCCTTTAAAGGGGCCCTTAAAGGAGCCCGTATAACTACCCATGAACCTCCAAGTAGACCAGAACCCCCGAGCTCCGCTCATAGACCGGGTTCACAGAAGAGCAGTTGTAAGTCTGGGAGGTGCCGCTGGGCAGAGCCTCCCAAGTTGAGGCTTGACGCAGACTTTCGAGGGCTTTCATAGGGTGTGGTAGGCTCTTAAAGCCTACTAAACTTCAACACATAAAACTCTTATAAACCCTAACCTCTAAGCTGGGTTGTTTAATAAACTCTTTGGTTGTTGGGTTGGGTTTTCTGGGCTCTTAGGAGCTGGGACATCTGCCAAGACTTGGCGCTTTCTGGGGACTCTGATGGGCTTCTTTTAAACGGCTCCAGGAAAGCATCTTCGAGGGTTCTGTGATATTTGTGTTGTTTTTTTTTTGGGGGGGGTGCTCTGTACAATAACTATCTTGCGACTGCGACTACAAAGGGGCATTATTCATCATTTGAGAGCCGGTTACGATAAGGGTTGGGGGGTTCCCCAAACACGTTTTCTAAACTCAGTGTTTTGGGCTACAAGTCCACGATTTACCACAGTTGGGGGCCTGTGTTTCCACAGTTCCCGGCCTCGTGTTTCCACAGTTCCCGGCCTTGTGTTTCCACAGTCCCGGGCCTTTGTTTCCACACTTCCGGGCTTGCTTTTCCACAGTGCGGGGCCTGTGTTTCCACAGTTCTTGCTCTCGTTTATCCAGAGATCCGGGCCTGTGTTTCCACACGTACGGGCTTGTCTTTTTTGTTTTTTTCTCCAACGTTGTGGAAACTCGGCCGGTGTTTGCGGAAACTGGTTGCGGAAACTGGTGTGGAAACTCGGCCGGTGTTTGCGGAAACTGGTGTGGAAACTCGGCCGGCTTTTGCGGAAAATGTTGTGGAAACTCGGCCGGCGTTTGCGCAAAATGTTGTGGAAACTCAGCCGGCGTTTGCGGAAACTGGTGTGGAAACTCGGCCGGTGTTTGCGGAAACTGGTGTGGAAACTCGCCCGGTGTTAGAGGAAACTGGTGTGGAAACTTGACCGTGGAACGTGTGTGAAACGTGGGAACTCTAAAGTAATAAGCGCTTCGGGGCTTGTTTCCACAAAGTTTTCGCAGAGAATCCGCAAAGTTTCCGCGGAATTTCGGCAGTGCGCCTGCGGTGTTTGCGCAGACTTTCCACAGTGGTTCCCGCAAAGTTTCCGCTGATATATGATACATGTGGGCGATGTGGGAGAGTAGAGTAAATCAGTAAATCGGCTGCGTTCGGCCTCACACGGCGTGGAAACTCTGCTTGTCTTGGCCCAAAGACATGTGGAAACATCGTTGTGTTCGGCCCCAAATGGTGTGGAAACTCTACGTTTTCTTGGCCAAAAACATGTGGAAACACTCCTGTGTTCGGCCCCAAACAGTGTGGAAACTCTGTCTTTCTTGGTCCGAAAACATGTGGAAACACTGCTGTGTTCGGCCCCAAACAGTGTGGAAACTCTGTCTTTCTTGGCATGGCCCATAACATGGCTGACAGGTAGGAGCGCTTCTGAAGTTTAGAGCTACCCTTGAAACGTGTTTGGGGAACCCCCCAAGATAAGGGTATATAAGGGGGCTTCTATGGGTTCTACAAGGGTTGCGTGTGAAATTTCGTGGAAGCAGGCTCGTTCTTGGTTCCTTAAGGGTCCTGCAGGAGGCTAGAGGGGTTCCATAACGGCTTTAGAAGGGTGTTCGGGGATTGCAGTGAACCCTTCAACAAACATCCTTCTTCATGCTAAATGCTCACTTCTACTAGCTTGTCCCAGACGAAAAACTGTCTAAGAGTACTACTGGTTGACCTAGTCATAATGTTGCTATAACATGATATGGTCATGTGTTTTTTGCAGGATTCAGGGCTTCGGGCTCGGGCGCTCAGGTGCAATGTCAAGTTTGGGCTTTAGGTGGTTGTCCTGTTTCATGTAAAGACTCACAGATCCATGTCCCGGGCGCTACAAGCGTTTGGGCTTCCTCATGAAACAAATACTATACAGGGAAGTAGACAAAATGAAGCCTGTGCGCAAGGCCGCCTTCCGGCTAGGAGGACATACACACGAATAACCTCGAAACCCCAATCAGTAAAGGCCCATAAATTCGTAACCTCCGGATCCACAGCAAGCCCTGTCCCAAAAAATGCAAACACGAACTACCCTCGTTAGCGCCCTCGCCTCCTAACCGACAAGCGCCGACCAACGACCCAACTGCTGACAGGAAATCGCATATTTCCAAGGTTCCTGAAGCCTTCTTCCTAAATGCCCCCAACCATCGAAAAAGGAACCTAAGCGAAGCCTTCTTGAACACCCCCAAAAAAACTGACGGCTGCAGTACCAACCAACAAGCGGTGCACTCCCTTTCACCAGATTTTCGGAGTTCACCGGCCCACGAAGAGAATAAGAACAACGCCTCTAGCTGTGTTGAGTTCTAGATACCCGAAAGTGTCTTGATTTTGCCTTGTCACAGTCCTACCAAACCACGCCCCCAAGCCCAAAATCCTAAACCGGCAAAATATCGGAAGCCCGAACCCTCAATTCTATGACGCTGGACCGTTCTGTACTTCAGGGCTCCTCTGCGAATGTCCACGTCTGGCTGCGATCGTAAAGCGTGGCGCTGGCGGAACTGTTGGCAGCGCATGGCATCGCCCTGGGAGTTGCGCTCTGTCTATCTGCCTGTCCATGTATTGATCTGCATATATCTCAATTCAGGTAGATAGATATTGGCAGACATGTAGACTAAAGAGATAGCAGATGCACGCGTGCATGCATACATGCGAACATTCAGTGGTACGTATCCCTTTTATTTAACGTATTCAACAGCTACTGAGGGTCCTACGGAAGGTTCCGAGCCCCCAAACATCCAAAGTCCATTGGCAACCCCGACCAGCCAAAGACTCATAAGCCATCTGCTCTGAGCAGCAAGACTCGGGCTTCGGTTTAGGGTTTATGGTTTAGGGTGACTCCTATGGATAGCTTAAACTATAGAAACCCGATACAGGAACCCTATTCTGATTCAGGCCCCAAACACCAAACCCTACACCCGAAGCCTATACCCTAATCTGAACAGTAGAACCCGGTCCTAGGAGGCCAGCTTGACAAGAGATCCGGGCGCCCCACTGACAGGCCGACACCTGAGATATCCAGGGTTTGGAGCTTGGGGCTTTAGGGTTTACGGTATTAGGGTCCAGAGTTGTGTTTCGAAGATGGGTAGGCTCGACAAAAAGCGTAGAAATGGCTGTCGACGGCCACAGTGGGTTGTTACTTGCCGGCACTCTCTTCCTTCCTGAAACAACCTCTGCTGATTCCGATCGAATTTACGGATGTAGGGGCTTAGGCATTTGTGGCTTGAGGGTTGCGTTAGGCTTGAAGATTCAGTTCAGGATATGGGGTTCGCAATGAGAGTAGGCTTCGCAGGGCTTAAGGTTCGAACATGCCAGGACGATCAAAACTCGAATGCTCCAAGGAATGCCACTTCTGATTAGGCGGGACCCGGGTCTAGGGTTTAGGACCGGCCCCAGCAAACCCTGCCCACTAGCTTGTCCGGGCAACCAGACAAACTGCAGGCCATGAGCACAAGCTTACATCTGTGGCTGTTGAAAAGTCTCGCTTCTGACATAGACTCGTCAGACTTGCGGCAAGTTTGCTACGAAATCCTACAGGCTTGAGAAAATTACACTATGACACCAAACGCGAGATGAGGTGCATCTGCGTCGACGGCTCCGCCGTTGCATCGCACCACAGCCTGGAGATGAGATCCGGGGAGTTGCGAATTCCTCATTGACACCCAACCCACCCAACCCCTGAGCCCTAAGCTTCGCATGCGTGAGATTTCATCCCTGAGCAGACCCCAAAGGTATGTTTAGCCCTGATGTTTAAAGCCCTGATAATCCTGATAATATGGGGGCCTTCACAACTACCATAGGGATTTTTTTGGCTCGATGATGCCAAAACGATAGTAATAAAATTAAGGAACCCCACAAGTAGCATTGCTGATTGCTCAGGCGCCTTAACCTTTGCACTACAACAATGACCCTAAACTCTGTAATCACTGTAATGCAGGAACCTGATGAAGAAGCCTTGGGCCTTTATTTTGGGTACCTTCTATGAATCTTGTTATTTTGGGGTTATAGGCCCAGGGTTTCTTAATCAGGTTCCTACATTATCCTAAACTCTGTACAAACCCTGATCAACAAACCCCTAAACTCTGTCTAAACCCTAAGCAACAGACTCTAAACCCTAAACCTTGAAACCCCTAACATAAGGGTCCCCAAGGCCCCAGCGCAGATTTGTTTTTTTTTCTAGTGCTTCGAAAGCCATCCACCAAACAAATCAGGAACAAAGTCTGGGCATTAGTAACTAGAGTACCGAAGCGAGGTGTTTACTGCTATGGTTATCTTGGTGACTAAAAGGCAAGCAAGACTTTGGCAACCCGTACAGTACGTGATATGTTCTTGTGTGTATACATTATATATACACACATAGATACATACATACATACATACGTACATACATATACACATACATACATACAGCGCAATGCTCCGAACCGCATGGAACCTCCCGCCCGAAGCCCTCAGGCCCCGCTCCCTTCCTCAAACAACTTCAACATCCCGAACCCAAGCCCACAGAGTCAACTTTCAATCAGACCTAAACCCTAAACCACCACCACCCCCATCCTCTTCCCCCAAAAAGCACCAACGTACACTTTTGTGTGTATATATAGATATATAGATGTACATATATATATATATATATATACACATTATAGGCGCAATCGAAAATCCCCAGATGGGCTCGGGCCTGACCCGCGAAGCCGGTCATCACCAACGAGCAGTCCAAGCCGTAAGGGTCTTGGAAGGCCTGGCTCTAACAGAGTTCAGGGGATCCTTTAAAGGGATCGTTAAGGGTGTGAGAGGTAAAATTCAGGGTTAAAGGCCTTAGGGTTGAGGGTTTAAGCGTTTTTTCGGCGTAGTGACCCCAGTCTCTTTGTGGAGGCAAATACCCATCTCTATGGAGACGTACACTCAAACAAGGAGTCCAAGGGAAAAAGACTTCGAGGGCCCAGCAAACTCGCACTGTGAGCATTTAGGGCGTAAAACAGGTTTAGGGTCTAAGAGTTTAGAGTTCAGGAGCTTAAGGTTTAAGCGTTCAGGGCTGAGGGTTTAAGAGCTTAGGGAACAGGGCTTTGATGACGAGTTACCTCCTCATATGCTATGGTGTCTTGGAATCTCCTGTTTCGCGGCTTGGGGTCAAGGCAGCAGCCAGTAAGTAAAAGTACGGGCTTCTAGAAGAAACATTTCGAACGGGGTCTCTGATATTCAGGATTACAAACGGCTTTGCAGCCTCGTTGCTCCGCTTCCTGGTCAAGCAGAGTAGAGTTGTGCATGAATAGCCCGCAATAAAAGCCTTCATTCAAGGTCATGCGAAAAGCTGCAAAGAAGGTGTGCTCTAGAATCTATTATAAGTCACTTATTTATCCTGGAATCCTGGTCCCCTCTCGCCTGCGGGGGTGTGACCGTGTGCACGAGGCCTCCAAGAATCGCCTTCACAGCCAGGATTCCGTCACAAGTGCTACAAGCGCGTCCAGCCCAACCATGTGAAGTATAGTATCCTCGAACCAGCACCACAGAAAATTACAAACAACTACTCTACACACTCTTGACGAGGAGGTACTTTCTGCCCCGACCGAACACGAATTTGAATTGCACGGGCTGTAAGACGGTAAGGTCCTCAGCTCGACATGGCTGCAAAGTGGCTGCGGGCCCGTGCTAATGGCAATCTTTGCCATATGCCCTCATGGCGACATTTCATGGTATGAAGTGTTGAGGCAGTCCTACAGAGACACCACTAATTGAAGACATGAGCCTTGAAACTCTTAGCCCAATAAGCTGGAACCCCTCAATCCTAAGCCCCCAAATCCAAAGAGGTTGCACCCCCGCATCGACCGAACGAGAACTTCCAAAGCGCAACCCACACCCTATGCCCGAAACGAAAACCCAGGATCCTTGAAAGCAAGCGCCCAAACTCTTGCCCGAACAACCTGAAAAGGGTGAGCGGAAGTGTGGTTGGTGTAGGGTTTCGGGTTTGTGGTTCAAGAAAGACAAACAAGGAAACAACCAGAACAGGAAACATAGTGCAGCCAGTATAGTAGCCCTTACAGAGGCGTTTTCGCACCCCTTATCGAACCCTGGAACACCAACGGAGCCACCTGCCCAGGCCGAGAAGGGAGGCAGAAGAGCTCGCAGGAGGACCTCAGAAAGAGGTGGGGGCTTGACCTTCCGGGTTTTGCTTGCGGGTTAAGAGTGTTAGGCTTAGGGCTTTGGGTGTCAGTTGTACGATTTGCGGTTTGGGGTTAGAAGGGAAAATGCTGGGCCGTTTATGGTTCGACAGGGTTCCTGGAGTTCGAGAACGGTTCTGTAAGGTGTTGACAGGGGTTTAGGGAGCGATTGCGATCAGAAGGACCTCCAGGAGCCGCCTCGGCTGACGTCGTGGCAGAAGCTTCGCCAGTGGCTGCAGCGGTGATGGAATCTCCCGCAGCTATAAGCCTTGCCTCGCCGTCAAAACTACCACGCTCCAGAAGTCCTGGTCGCTTTCCGGAGCAGTCAGGTCCCCCTGCGCCACTGACCAACCCAGTACTACTGGACCATGTACCGGTCACACTGAGCCTAGAGTTCAGGATTTCGCTCTGAATCTTCCTTATTCGTTTTCGAGGGTGAACCAGGACAAGCAGACCACGGTAACCCAAATCCCTCATGAAACCCTCATTTGCGAAGGCCCCCTTACCAGGACCTCCGAGCATTCTTCGAGGCAAATGGCAAGGTTCTCAATAGAGGGTGCTTATGCCATTGAGGGCTTAGGGTTTCGGATACTTAGGCCCTAAATCGTCCTAAAAACCTTCAACAATCCCCAAGGCTTCACGTTCCCATGTAGTATATACTTAGGCCTTGAAGCGGTACATGAGCCTTGGTAAACTACTGCACCCCATACACAAACCCTCCGGAACCCTATACGCCCTATACAAATCGCCTCCAACCCAATTCTGTCTGGTGCTTAGTAGGGAATGGGGGAATGGATCCATATAGTGACCCCCTATTTTTCTATACTCCCAAAACCGAAAAACCGCACCCCCACCCCCCCCCAAAGAGACGCCGAACGGAAGCGCTGGGGCTTCCGACGCGTCGGCCAAGACCGTGCCAAAGTGGCAGGTCAGACGGAGGTCGCCTCAAGAACCCCCCGGTGATCTTCAGTGGGTGGGGGAGTGGATCCCTTTGGGTTTAAGGTTTAGAGTCTAGGGTTTAGGGTTTAAGAACCCCCGGTGATCTTCCCCAAAGGGTCCATCCATCTACCTACTAAGTACCTACAATAATTGTACTTGGACCCTTTGGGTTCAGTGGGTGGGAGGGTGGATCCCTTTACTCGAATCCCGAAACTGATTTAGGGTTTAGGGTTTAAGGTTGGGTTTAAGGTTTAGGGTCTAGGGTTTAGGGTTTGGGTTTAGGGTTTCGGGTTTGGGTTTAGGATCCCTTTACCTAGTGGTCGGGTATCATGGGGAACTAAAGGTTAACCTTTTTGGATATATAGGGATTATACAGGGGCTATACTACCCAAAAAAGGTTAAAGGTTACGTGCTCTACTGCTAGGTTTACTCGTCCCCAGATCATCCTTTATTTTCAACCTTGATAGTTCTTGCATTCAGTCCTCCACTTCTCCTGAAACACCACTAAGCTTAAAGTACTGCGGTATGCGGCTTCCTATAAAGGGGTTTCGGGGTCCAGGGGCTGTGTTTTAACGTCGAGGGTATAAGGCTTAGAGCCATTTTGGATGCCGTGTTTATAAAAAACGGGATGCCAAACATTACTCTTCGAATTGTTTGGGCCTTTGTACTACTAGGTGGGTACCTTGGCGATTCTGATTAGCAAATGCTTGGACCTTTGGGGTAGCTGTTATAGTTGAACGGTGTAATTTTATTTTTTTGTGGCCTGTTTGGAATTCTCTAAGTGTTTTGTACCGATTCTATAGGCTGTTTGATTTTTTTTGCGCAGGAAGCCGTGGGGCTTTCGTCTCATGCGTCGTCAGGTCTATAGGGTGTAGGATTTTAGCATTTTGCCCTTGGGCGTGTTGACAGGACGATCGGCTTGCGGCTTTAGGGTTCAAGACATTTTTAGGTTCGGGTCTTGGGTCAGCTTGATCATGGAGTGCAAGTTAGCCAGAGTACCTAGCTGCTTAGGGTTTAGGGTTTAGGGTTAGGGATCTCCAGCCCATGGTAAAGCGAGCCCAGTGCATCGTTGTGACGCTTGCGCATCTGGAGAACTTCCCGTCTGAGCTCTTGGATCATGGCGAGCAGCTGTATCTGGCCCTCATTCTCACACGAAAAAGAAAAGAGCCTCCGAAAGGCAGCCCCAGCTTCGAGAGAGGCGAATCTGCGATGAGTCAGCACGGAAGGAAAGTCCTGCTTTCTTGCGTATTTGGGGATCATTGGCTGACAGTACGCGTTGCAGTGGTGCTGCACTGCTTCTTCTGGAATATGCTCTCCGACATCAACTGCGCCAGAGCTCGCAAGGGGAGATGTTTGACTCGGTCCGAGTGCCGTGCCTTGTCAGACCAAGAGAGCCCAACACCTCTTAATCATACCTTTGACGAGATACAACTCGAAATGTCTTTCTTATACATGTAAAGTGAATGGAAAATGGGTTTGTAACCGCCCCGAATTGTGAATCCTTTTTGGGCTGCCTGGCTTTTGGTTTTTAGAACCCCTACCACAGAAGTGGTAAGCCAAAAGGGGTCTTCTGTGGGGTCGGAATAATAAATACCAACAGTCCACGCTTATAACTCTACTCTAATATACCCCGAAACCCTGTTCTAGTTGTATATCACGGCCCCTAGGTTAAACTCACACTTTACGAAACTGTAGAAACCGAAGAGTTGGAATCCTATAAGCCTTTCTAAATTGAACCCTCAGCGCCCTGAAACCTAAACACCAACAGCGAACCTTCAGTTGAACTCAAGCCCTCCTGAGGGCGGCGCCCTGTAGTGCCTGCCGGATTCGGGCAGGCAACATGTGCGGTTTAGCGAAGACGAAGCAGTTGGGTTCAGGGCTTTAGGGCTTTTGGGGTTCAGGGATTTGGGTTTTTGGCTTGAGGATCGGGGTGAGTCGGATCTGCATAAGCTTCGGGGCTCGGCGGCTGTGGTTTCATTGGAACCACGGCGCAGTTTCATCCTGATTGCCGCATCCGTGACGCCTGAACCCTGTCATCCGAAACTGCGACTCGAACCCCATATCCTAGACCCTTGGCCCTGAACTACCCCTAATCATCGATAAACCGCCTGCACCTACATCCAGAAATCAGATCCCGAAATCTGAATGTCAAACCGCAAACCCTCAAGCCGTGATCATGATCCTCCAGGGGTATATTGGTGCAATATATAGGGCACAAGTAGAAAATGGAGGGGGGGTGGGCGCGTGTGGTATGTTGGAAAGCAGTGTTCTTACGTCCTCCCAAGGCCCTCCATCTCGGTAGTTCTCTAAGGTACTTCTGTTGATGATAAAAATTCCTGCGCTACCTGAAGGACCCTAAACTATGAGAATTATGGTATAGTCCTTATTATGGGCAATGCAGGATTTCTATCATCAACCGTTTTATAGGGTGCCCAACTACATAAGGAAACCTAAGAAGGGACCCTACTTTCGCGAACTACCCATATGACTGGGATGTCTGATCTAAGGCCTTCGCCCCACGTCCCCTCAAACACGGAACCCTAAACCCCCTCACACCCCCCAGGTGCTCTATAAAGCTCTAAAACAGGGGCCTTAATGCTTACAGAAAAGGTGTTGTGGCAAAGCATATACGGTAAATTATAGGATATTGCTTAATTCTTCCGACTGCTATTTTATGCCTCAAACTGCTAAGCCCTAAGCCCTGAAAACAGACATTCCATGAACCCCGCAAAAGTTAATCCAATCCTCGTCGGCGCTATCGCAGCCCACCGTCACTGTCTCCGCATGCGACAGTGCAACCGACCTCGCGATAAACCCTACACACTAACCCCTAAACCAGGGTTTCGGGTGCAGGGGTTTAGGGGTTTAGGGGGGTAGGGTCTTAGGGGTTTAGGGGGGTAGGGTCTTAGGGGTTTAGGGGTTTAGGGGCTTAGGCGGTTAGGATTTAGCCAAGAACCGTAACTGAATTCTCGGGGCTCAACACAGCCGGAAAGGCAAATCCCCCCCCGCACAATGAATAGACGGACACATGTATCACGAGTAGACAAGGGTTCTGGTATGCTATCGTAGCTGTACATAGGTATGTCAGGAGGGGGTATCAATATGCTAATTAGGTCGGACCCCTTGTATTGAGCCCTAAACTCGCGAAACCTGGAAGGCCCCTCATCGACCCCAAATGCTACGACCCACTAATCCTTATAAGCCCTATACTCCCCGAGCCCCTAAACCTTCAGAAAACCAAAAACACAAAATTTCCTTAAATCCGTCAACCCCCCAAATTCCCAAACCCAAAAACAGCACTAAAGACTAAAAGTCCTAAATCCGTAACACTCCAAAAGCGCTTGGTTCCGAGTTTTAGGTTTTCGGTTTGGGGAGACATTCATTGAAGCAGCCTTCTAAAGGCCTTTGACTTCAGGAGGTGAGGGCCCCTCTGAAGAGGTTGAGGGGTTTCTAGAAGACCCATAAACAGGGGTACTTGGAGGCCCTTTTGACTTAGTAAGTAGGGTTAGTAAGGTAAGTTATGGGGATTACAATAGGGTTTCTAGGGGATACTAAGTAGACTTGCTAAGTCAAAAGGGCCTCCAAGTATTCACAATTAGACAAAGGTTTGAGGGGCGTACTACAGCATATCTACTGTGAAGGAAACCTAGCAGACAATATATGGTCCTTGTTGATAAAAAAACTGTCTAAGGGCTTTTGCCAGGGAGCAGCTTGAGGTAGTTTAGAGTCTACCTAGACCCTCCAAAGTAGGTACAACAATGGCCCAAAACCTATAAAAGGCTGCTATTCTACATACTGTTAGTGGGGGCAATGACCAACAAAACCTATAAAAGGCTACTATTCTACGTACTTTTAGGGTCCTGGCAGGGTTTCGGGTGGTATCCTAGCAACTCGCTGCGAGCACCAGGGCCGCGCCGCTCCGGGTCCCCGGGCGTGAAAACGACCGAGTCGATGCCGCTCTTGGTGACATTCGAAGCCAAGCCTGGCACTTAGAGGGTCTTTAGGGGACTTAGCTGGGGACTTAGTAACTGGGTATTTTGGCGACTTATAAGTACGATAACCCCAAGTATGGTCCCTTTTAGGGTACTTATAAGTCTACTTACTACCTACTTACTAAGTCCCCCGACCCTCTAAGCAGGTCATGTAGAGGCCTGAATACTTGGGTGGTTGTCAAAATTAGGGTCCCTTTTTGAGTACCCTAAATACGAGGTGCCGTACTAGATTAGGGACCCAAAAAGGGACTATAATTTTGACAACCACCCATAGGTACCTCAGAGTCAACTGACATACCAGTTTCATAGGTACATGGACCTCCGGGTGTCCAATGAAATTAGAAAAAGGGTTTTAGTTTGGGGGGCATTAATACTATAATTGTCTATACTGAACTTAGAACGCAAGCAAAAATTACAATTTTAGCTGTTTCGTAGGGATTATAATAACCAAAAATTATTTCTTAGTACCCCTAAGTTGTAATAAGACCGGATCGCCCCCCCCCCCCCCCAAAAAAAAAAAAACTATTCCAGCTATTAAGGCCCCTACAATAGACTGGCTTGAGGGTTGAGCATCTAGGGCTGTATGGGTTTAGAGTTTAGAGGGGGGTGTAGGCAAAAACTGTTTCGTGATATGCTGTTTCTCGTGTTTGTGCTGAATTGCTTTCTTGGGCTTGTTTACGGCTTAGGATGGCCGCACATTCTAGAGTTGCCGTGGTTTTATGTTTTGCTTGTGAGATCGTACTATTAAGGTAGTTGGCTTGAACGGGTTGTTCCTGGCAGCACGTGAGACTTGGTGCTTAACGGGTAATGTATGGGATCTGGGGTCTACATGTAGCATTGGTGGTTCATTAGGGCAGATACTGCAGCCATTGATTTGGAGCACACAGCAGACGCAACATCCACACGGACTGCGTGGTGGCCCAACGTCTAGAGTGATCCCGGCAACTCTTGGTGAAGGCGTGGATATACAGGCAGAGCCCTCTGCTTCAAACCTTCGCCCACAACCCTAAGCCCGCCCAAACCCAAAACCTAACAGCTGCGGCTTGATCATGGATACCGCTCTGGCCTGCAGCGCAGGCCTGTGGAATGCAGTTCACCTGCACGCCTCAGTGAAGGATCTGTGTCAACTTCTGCACAGTCCCCCTTCGGGCTTCAGGTTGTGATCCTTCAAATCAAAACTTATGGTCAAGGTTTGGGGATGTCAACACATCTGGTTTAAGTTTCAGGTTTAAGGCCGTTTAGGGTTATGAAAAATCATATGCCTTGAGGCTTTGGCTTCACCCTACGGGATTGAAAGATCTGAGTACTGATGTCCCAGTAGCCCCCTTGTAAGCCACTGTACACGCAGAACCGAACCGGAGGCGAGGCTGGAGATCAGACATGGAAGCTAAGATATGGCATGGAGACATCGACCCCGAAAGGTCCATGTACCTATTCCTATATAGACTAGGCTTCGTCCTTGAAGAGGCTCCTACATAGGGACTTTAGCCTTGGATTCTTTATGGTTACAGTATGTGCTCGATAGCTATACTATGGGAGGTTTAAGCCTTATGGGAGTGTGGTATAAGATGCGGCAGAGTGCTGCACTGTCTCCCGAGCAGCGACTGCAAGCAAGCTTTACCCGTCACAAGCATCAAACAGTCCTGAGTTCACACTCCAGAAGCCTAGACAGTGCCGCACCCACATTGGCTTGCTTCAGGCCCCAAAGTGCTGAAGCCCTAAACCACACGATCATTTCAATGATACACCCCCTAGAGCCGAAACACTATTTTAAAATCTTCTCCTGGGTTTATATGAACAAAAATACAAACTACGTCCTAAAGAGACTATAGTAAAGACAACCGAACAGGGCCTGACTGGCAAGATGGTCAGAGGCCCTTGCCGGCGTAGCTGCCCAGGCTGCTGCAGGTGCCGGAGACTGTTCCCACCTCAGCACACAAAGTGCTCCAAGGCTGGGATGAAGGTTGGGTTTTGGGTTTAGGATTTAGGGTTTTAGGGTTTTGGGTTAGGGTTTAGGGGTTTAGGGGTTTAGGGTTAGGGTTTAGGGTTTAGGGGTCTAGGGTTTGGGGAATTAGGTGGGGGAATCCCTAAATAAGCCTCCTTATACAAGGGATCCTTTATGCTATCTACCGTGATCCCAATGCCTAATGCCGTGCCTAACTGATCTCGATAGTCGTCGAAACACTCACTATTCAAAGCCCGAGGATCTTGATTGAGGGCACCTTGCATTAAACTTTAACGCTTACACCGTAGGGCCTTGGTTTGGTCTAGACAATATAGCTATTCGTGCTGGCCAGAGGCCGGGACTGGTCAGGTGTCTGCCGTTCCGCTGGGCACAGACGGCCAGCAAACTGGAAAAGGTGGCATCCGCAGCGATGGGAATCCGAAAGCACTGCCCTGCATCGCACTCCACATCTAACTGCAGCTGTAACCGCAGAAGATAGCCCAGATTTCGTAGGAAGACGCACGAACCATACAATCGAGACAGCAAGTTGCCGCCAATGAGAGGCAGCATTGAGCAAGTGATGAGATGCGTCGCATGAGGGTTTAAGCCCAAAGCCCTTAGCTTCTTCGGGTCTTGCGACGTCGCAGTTTCGGGTTCACATTGAGTTTTTATTGGGCTAGAGGCCCTGCCACCAACTAATAATTAGCTACCGAATATGTGACTAGTACAAGACCCACGTACAAAAACCCTAGAATTCCTAAAACAACTCCTGCACACCCTGTTGCCTGACTCAATCATGTGTTGAACCATTGAACCCTGTGAGCTTGCCCGACTTCATGCAGACCCTTGATAAATACACCCCCCCTTCCCCCTTTTTAGGGAAGATCTAAGGAGTTCCTCTCACGGTCCAGCTTTAGGGACCCGAAGATGTGGGCCCTCAAAGCTGAAGGCTTCATTGCTCAGGGGTCTACTATAGGGACCTTAATAATTTTAATGGGTTTTTTTTGGGGGGGGGTCCTAATCAGAACTGCAGTACACTATATCCCAAAACCTTAGTCTAAAAAAAAAGGCCTGTATACTGTAGTACCCTTTATAGTATCCCTTACAGTAACCCTATAGACCACTTTAAAAAGGGACCCTCTTCTACCTATTCAGGCCCTTACATTGCTACCCATGAAGCTTGGAGTTGGCAGTCGAGGCCTGAACAGTCGCAACAAACCCACCGACCCTTAACGGTTTAGGGCTTGGGAAAACATTGAAGGGCTTAAGGTAAAAGCCAGAAAGTTGGAATATGATGATCCTAACCCTTCTGTGGTAAATTATAGGGTATCCTACCATGAAACCATATTCCAACTTTCTGGAGTTTCCTTTAGGGTTAGGGTAAACACCCCCGAACCGCTATTAAAATTGCGGGGTTAGGACCCAGGGGGAGAGTTGATTGTGAGGAACGTCTTACGTGGTCTCAGGCGCAGGCGTGGCCAGGGAAGAAATCGCCACAGTCCTCGGTTGGAAGCCCATGACAATGGCAGGTTTCCTACTATTTGCTTAAGAAACCCCCAAAAAATAAAAATAATAATCCCTATATTACCCCCATAAGGAATATATTTTTTATTTTTTGGGGGTTCTTAAGCAAATAGTAGTTTCGGTATCTAGGAGCATCACCTTTTGCATACCTTCGAGGCCGAGCCTCAAACCCCTTTAAGGACAGCCAGGTCCGAAAACCTCCAAGAACCGAAGCTTGGACCCAACGTTTTGCCCGAACCATACACCTTAAACCCTAGACAGCCCCCTCAAAACCCCCCAAAAAGGAATCCTCAAAGCCGATCAATCCTGATTTTGCACTGGCTTGGGCACAGACCTCTGCGAAATCGTCGCCGAGTGCAACTCCAGATGTGGGCCGCAAGACCTGCAGACGGCGCCAACGGGCTTGATGCAAGGGCGTGAATAGTAAGAACAGTGTATTGGGGGAATATTATACTATACTAGGAACCGTTAGGAAGGGTATATCAGTATATCAAGCCCTGAATAATTGGAATAGTGCTTGGCGGGGCGTATATTCGTAGAAAAACTGGACTTTGAAGTAACCAAGGAGAAAAAGTATAGACGTTAATTTCATAATGGTTCCTTTAAGAAACAGGCACCAAAAACGTATTCAAGTATGGTACTCCAAACCCAGGATATACTATACGAGACTAGGAACCCTAAGCGGCAGTATGGGAATTTCCGAAAATTGAGAACCCTAACAAAGTACTTTAAGTTTTAGGATCCTGTTTACAAGGACCCCGAATAAGGCACTCTGAATTTTCGGAAACTCCCATATGGGTAGTAGTCAAAATTAAGGTGCCGTATTGTTATAGTAGACCCGAAAAAAAACCACAATTTTGACAAACACCCATATGTTCCTCACGGGTAACCGGGAGCAAAGGCTTCGCCGAGGGCCGAAGATCGTATTTGTCAGTTGAATCCCGGCGTAACTCTAAGCCCTGAAGCCTGAAATCTCTTAACCCTTAAACCCTAAACCCTACAATCTCAAATCTCAACGCCGCAAACCCTATAACCTCAAATCTCTCAACCCTGAACCCTGAAACTCAGATCTCTAAACTTTGTAGAGCTTACCCATAGGCCCCATAGTAGTTCTTTGGGATTACATTATAGGGTTCTAAGTATGAACCTCAAAGAAAGAACTACTATGGGGCCTATGGGCTTGTGTACGGATGGGGAAGTCCAGCTTGGAAGCTTGACCCGCAGAGCCATACATGAAGGAACCCCTAAAGCAGCCCTTCTAGGTATTGTTTGAGGATATTCCGGCCCGTATAGTAGCCCGTATAGACACCATTTGAGGAACGCCAAAGAACCCTAATAGTAGACCTTGCAGAAACCCTTCGAGGAACCCTATTCTAATTCTTAAGGCCTTATGTTGTGGTGCCTTGGTGTCGTTGCCGACGGCGATTTGCTGGCCCTCACCTCTTAGGGGAAGGCGGCAGAGGTCTGCGGTTCAGGGTTAGTCTTCTGTGGTTGTTGTTGCGGGGATTATGCCGATCTTGGTGCTTCATTTTAAGCGCACAACCATTGGATTGCCTCTCGTGCAAGATTGGGAATCTCAAGTCAGCGTCTTTAAGGGGTCAGGGGATCAGGGGTTAGCTGCTGTGTGAAATGCTAGGGGTCTTTTTTAAGGGGAGAGGCTGTAAATTTCAGGGTGCACAGGCGCCGAAGGACGCGAGATACACGGACCCTAGACCTGTACCCTCGCCTCCCTGAAAACTGAGCTTGGGGGGCTCGGCGGCTAGGGTTTAGGGCTTTGAGTTTTATGCCTACATCAACAGGCGTTTTGGCTTTTTGAGCCTCATTTCTCAAGGAGCAAAACAAGTCAAGTGGTAGGAACGTATAAATCCAAGTCGGAGGCGCCAAAAAACTCAGGCCTTTAACACGTCTCGCCATCTGCTCCCTACGTTTCGCTCTCCAACCTGCCGAATGCTGAAACACAGCCAGTGCTCGTTTCCTGCACCCCCAACCCAAACATGTCAATCCTTATAAATATAGAGGCCTTAATAATTGAACAGAGTTTTGGGGGTTCCTTACTCTAACTAATTTAATGTATAATGGGCGCCCAAACTTTATCAGAATTGTCAAGGCCCCTTAGGGCTTGGGTATGGAAGACAAGGCCTGAACACAAATCAAGGGCCTGTTGGAAGACAGCCGACTTCTTGCTGAACGCAGCTGGAGGCATCGTAGCCTCGGCATCACAGAACTTCGGGTTTAGGGTTTAAGGGATATTCTATAAACCCTAAAAACCCTCAGAAGCCTGAGATTGATCTACTACAAAGGCACCATAAGGGTAACGTCCTATCCCTCAGGGGGTTTTAGCCTTGAGGATGCACAGCAGTAACCCGAAGCCAGGGTCCATGTGTCTCTGTATTATCTACTTAAAGAGAGCTCCTATATCCTGCACAAGGCCAGAAGGCCACTTTTAGAAGTGAAACCCACCAAAACCTACTTGTTTTCAGAGTCCCTCTAATATCGTGAATATAATCAAAACCCCGCCAAAAATGTGTCTGGGTAGGTTAAGGTAAGGCCCAGGGCCCAGAGCTGCCAAGGTAAGTCCGGGCCTATGGAGCAAATCGAAAACTGAATTCCTGGGAGTACAGCTGATATGGAGAAGAAGTCTGAGCCCCCCAAAACCGAAAGCTTAAGTCCATCTCAGCTACAAGTGCTTGGCCCCATGAAGCCCTAGACCTCGATCCGACATGCCAAACCCGAAGCCCGGGTAGTTTGTTGAACTTACAGAAAACACCAGAAATGTAGAACTCCGTGAAATACCCTGCATGAAACCCCGTAAAACCCAAACATCGATGTGCAATGCTCCAGGAGTCTGGCTGAAATGGCCTCCGATGCACGTCCTCAGCGTCCACAAATCTTCTATGGGGTTTCACATGCTCACATGATCTTTTGGGGTTTTAAAAGCTGTCGCAGGTCTCTATAGGGTTGTACAGACTGTTGTCGAGCTTTACACAGGTGCTCCGGGTTCAGGCTAAAGGTTTAGTCTTTCCTCGACCCCCGGAGGATCGAAAAAGTAGAACCCCTAAGTTGGGAACCTGTACTACGAAAGGGTACTACATGGGAATCCCCTTATTCCAATACCGGTGCCTAGTTTCAAGATTTTGCCGGGGGTTCTGGTTAAGATTCCGGAAACGGGAAACACCCTAAACCCTAAACCCTAAACCCTATACCCTAAACCCTAAACCCTATACCCTAAACCCTAAACCCTAAACCCTAAACCCTAGGAGGTTCGCGGCCTCTGGAGTTTGGCCTTCAGGGCGTGGGTCTACTCAGGAATCCGGAGGGTCCCAAATGCCTAGTATAGATGCCTTAATAATTCGAGTAGGGGTTCCTTTGAAGGGGCCCTTGAAAGGGGTCTATGGGGGATCTATAGTAGGGTTCTATCAGAAGCCTTAATAATTAGAATCGGGCTTTGGGGGGGTAGATTGTACTATAATCTGAATCAGGAGCCTCCAAAATAGTATAGGTAACCATTAAGGCCCCTAGATTATGTGTGGGATACTTACACAGACCATCATAGAAATTCCTACAGCAGATACTATGCAGGTAAGTAGGACCCTCAACGGAGGCCAGAGCAGATTCCTCGGCATAAGTAGGGACGTCCGATCTGGGACGCTGAAACAAAGGGCCGTGGTATGGTTCAGAGTTTAGGGCTTAACACAGCTCAACATGTCCGAAAGGGTCCGGGTGCCTATATGTTATAGGTTTGGGCTGCAAAGCCCTAGCCGTAGAAATCTTAGAAAGGGCTCAAGAAGCCCTCACGTCTCTGTTCCAAGCTTTTTAACCGATGCATCTTACAAAACCTTAAACCCCAAAACCCAAAGCCTAGAACCCTTGATAGAATCCTCTCAAGGGCTATTCTAGACTCCCTACCCCTACTTCTCGGAACTCTGTAGCAATAAACCAATACTATGAAGGACCACTGAATTTTCAATCCGCCCCTCTAAACCCTATCAATCCTAAACCTTCAGCCCCTAAACCCTAAACCCCCTTCACCCTTGGGCCCTCTCCCACGCCAGTGCCGGGCCCCGAGCAGTGTGATTTCGCCTGCGAACTCGTTGTTGATGCCGCTGCAATCTTCCTTGGGTCAAAGAGGAAAAGGAGGGACCCTTAATGGGGACCCCTACCCTATAATGGGCTATATAATGGGCAAAGAATAGCTATGTTAAGGGTATATACCTAGGGGTCCTTCTGAAGGGTCCCTCTTTTTACCCTTGGATTGGGGGTAAAGAAAGCGTCCAAAGGGTTCTGTAGGGCTTTGTAGAGGTTTCTAAAAGGCTCTAGCGGGGATAGGTCAGGTTTCCCGAAGCTTCTAGAGTGATGGTAAGACGGGATTACAGTAAAGTCGTATAATTGCTGCAGTCTTTCTTCAGGGTTTAGGCTTCTTCTCTTGTGGGTTCTGCCCAGGGTTTCAATGGTGTCGAAAAGGTTTGATTGGGTTTCCACAATCTTCCTTGGGATTCATGCAGGGCCCCGGCCGTCCAAGTGGTTCCATGGTCCACCTGCGAAAATGCAGCGCGTGATGGGGTGCCGGGCTTCATGCACAGTGCACAGGGTTTTAGACTTCAGGATTTAGGGCTTGTTGGTTCAGGCTCAGGGTTTTAGTAAATTTAGGGAGTAATGCCCCTGGTATCTTAATGTTTATGCAGTGCAGTGCGGCGAAACTGAGTCAGTGTTTTTGAATTAGAGCTACCCCCAAAACCCCAACTGCTCTTCTGGGTTGTAGTTTTGGGGCTCTGAAAAGTATTTATGACTAGGTACCTCTATAGGAACCATGAGGGAAATTAAGAAGTTTCCCAAATTGCAACCTAGTCTTGACTATAGGCAAAATACCCTCCACTAGATCTCCAATCATCAGTACAGACTGGATGGGGGCCCGGCAAGCCTATACTAAAACAGCCCCAAGCAAAACTGACGCAGAACCTGCACATTCTACACGACCATTACATGAATCCCTTATAAGCCCCAAAACAATCCCTGTAGAACCCTGATTTAAACGACCCCGCAAGCTGATCTAAGCCCAACTGGCAGGCTTAAGAAGAGTCTGTCCTTCTCAGGCCTAGATTTTCAAGCTTTAAACTGTTAGAGCTCGATCCTCACCCCGAAAAACCCCAAGCAAAAGACAAACCGCAAAGCCCTCCACTCTTCGAGTAGACAAAGGAAAGCTCCATAATATAGACTGAGTCAGATTGAGGACTCACTGTCGGCTTTGACAAAAACACGACCCGAGCATCCTTATGAATGGCCCTGTGTTTTACATGGGCTCTGCACCCTGAACCCGTAACATCCTTATGAGTGGCCTGACCATAGGGGTTCTCCTTGATCGCGCTCTGCCAGCCCACCATGACCTGTCCGGGGTCGGTCCCCGCAGCAACATGCTGTTCTGCTCTCTATATGGGAGTTTCCGAAAATAGGGGACCCTCCTACAGTACCCTGAAGAGTAGGATCCTTATTATAAGGACCCCAAAATAAGGTACCCCTAATTTTCGGAAACTCCCATATGAGGATATCATCATCCTGCAAACTGTTCGGGGTTTCGGTGTTTAGCGCTTGGGAGGCACCGGCTTTGTAACCTTGTTTGGCTTTGAACTCCAGAACTTCAGGTCCAAAGACCAGACTGGGTTGGCTCTTGTTGGCCTGTTCGGACCGGGGTGTACGATAAATTCATGATTTTATGGTTTAGTTTAACCATGGTGCCAAGTGCTATCATGCGGCATGGAATACCGATATGTCAAGTTAAGTCATGAGCACGCAGACCTATACAGTCCAAAGAGCTGTGATAGCATGTAACGCCTGTTGTCCATCAGTCACGTTGCACAACATTACATTAAACAACCTTATGCTGCAGAACATGTGCTGCAGCATCACACTACACTACACCAAACTACGCTGCACAGTACATCGCACCACACTACACAACCCTCTATGACCCTATATTGCATGTCTTCACGTACTTTAAACTACTCCACAGTAATTGACATTATACTGCGTTTTGTTTTTGCCTCTCACCCATCCCACAAAAAAAACGTGGACACACACACACACACACAGAGACACACTTTCTCTCACACTCACACACACGCTCACATGCACAAACACACAGAGATAAACACAATCACACACCAACGACCCATCATCCAAAAATCCGAAAACCCCATCTCCACTTCGGTAGTGATTCCGAGGCTAGTGATGGCTTGTGGTCCAGAGCTGAGGACCTTACACTTTTGGACGTTGGAGCGGTGTCCAGTACCAAAAGCCTGTAGCCATTACCATCGCGGTATAGTACAAGGGATCCTCAATAGTAATGTTCCCTTGTTGTAGCTCTTGCAATCCCTAGACCCTAAACCCTAAACCGGTAATTTACATTCCACCGCAATACTTACCTTTGGTTAGTAGGGAATGGAAGAATGGTAGTCATAGTAGTTATAATTGTACCCCATTCCTCCATTCCCTACTAACCCAAGATAAGAATATGCCACCGGGGTTTTGCATACCGGGCTTGTCGATATCCGGCCTCGATGCTGGTGCCGTATGGGCAGGGGTCGCCAATGCCTTCGATGGACCATGTTTAGGGTTTAGGGTTTACTCACGGTTTAGGGTTTAGGGTTTACTCACGGTTTAGGGTTTAGGGTTTATGGTTTACTATACTGAGCTTAGAACCCTAGCAAAAATTACAATTTTAGCTGTTTCTCAGGGAGTAGAACAATCTAAGTACCCCTAAGTTTAGGGCTTTCGGGAGTGCCTTTGAGGGTGCTGAAAGCCTCTTGAGTTCACTGGTATCAAGCTGAGCTCTGCAAACCTATGTGACCGGCTGGTTTGTATGCCACCTGGACACGACACGCCAAGCCACCATAGTCCTAAGCACCCAAAATGTAGACAAACCTGAACCACACATCCCAGGGTTTGGGGCTCAGTCTTACCTATAGTCTCCATTGTAGTTCCTTTTTTGGTTAACCGGCTATATGGTTGGATCCTACATTTTTTTAGCCAAAAAACGTAACCACCGTGGAGACTATAGGTATATAACTGAGTATAGGTTGTAGGCAGGTTCTGGGTCCCGGACATGTGGAGAAGTCGCCAGTGATGTTGCCGTACCTGCACACCACCTGATCAAGGCTGACACCGAAACCCACACAAAGCCAAGCTGCCCTGTTTGCCAGAGTCTAGCAATGGCTTCGAGTCTCTGTGTATGCTCTGTTATGACCGAGCGCAATGGAGTTGATGGTCCCCCCTGCTTTCATGCAGGACTTGCAGAAGGTGCATAAGATAGCGGCCCGAAAAAGTAGAGTGGGGCTGCGGCTGTGTCCTATTATGCAACTAGTTAAGGGCCAGGGTGGTTATCCTGACAAGTTTGGCGTGCTGTGCATCTGACCAATGAAGCCTTCCATGCTAGCGCTGCAAGCAAGATGAATCCTACCATCATCGCCTTCAGATCGTCATTAGCAGGCGCTACGTAGTCCTCATTTACCTGTGCTACCGTCAGCGGTGCCTTCTTCCGCACCACCTGAGCCTAAATCCGTGGGTTCCTCGTCTCTCATTTCGAGTGAAAACCAATAGTTTAAAGCTAGGTAATGCTGACACTTCACCGTCCTGATAGCTACCAAAGACTTACCCGTCCACCATCCTGGGGGAAGTAAAGGGTAACCTTTGGGATTTTACAGGGTTATAAGTTATAATGCCACAAAACAAGCTGAAGGTCACCTACTCTACTACCACAGAGGGATTGTATAATAAACCCTGAACCGCACAAGCCCTAAACCCCTAACCCTAAACCCTGAATTCCACAAAAGGTCGTCTCACGACAAATTCCCACCACAGGGGCCTTCATCAAAGGCGTCTTGACCCCAAGGCCCTAAGGGCTCCAATTTGCACCTTGAACCCTAAAACCCTGAGAGCCCTATAAAAAACCCTGAAACACCCAAAAACCCTATAAATTTTAAACCGTGTAAGCCCTAACAACTCATACCCTAGAGCCCTAAGTTTGCGCAAACCGCCCTTGAAAAACCTCGATGCCCTAGGCCCGAGTCAGAAAAAACCAAACGTCCCAGCCCGAAAGGGCCAACCTTTCAACCTACCCTTGGGATCTAAGGACTCATATCTTAAGGCTTTTGGACCCAAAGACCATACTATATAAGGCTTTTGGGCAAGTTTGATCCCTAGGGTTACTTCTCCAGTATTCTAGGGGAATTATTCATCTAAAGAATATAGAGGGGTTACAGCACCAAAAAACGGTTGAAGGTTAATTACCTACCCTGCTACTAGTTCAATGTAAGCAATCTGCTCAGCTATTGAAACCGAGCCCTACAGATCCTGAACTTACCTTGGGTTAGTAGGGAATGGAGGAATAGGGGGTAGAAATATAACTACTATTATTTCGATTCATCCAGTCCCTACTAACCAAAGGTAAGGATTAATAAGGCCCCTATATTATAGTACCCTTATATAGATCCCTTATAGTAACCCTTACAGACCCCTTTATAAGGGAACCCTACCATTCCCTACTAACCAAAGGTAAGTGAACCACGATGAACCTGAAGCCTGAACACAAGCAATACGAGACCCACGACCTGCCCTCAACTTCGAACGCCCTAGCGAACTGAATCAGCCTGCAAGAAACCCTTATGGAACCCATAAAGCCTTACTCAAGCTTAAAGAGCGTGACCCTAAACCCTAAGAGCACACACAAACCTGAGGCCATAAACTGAGACCCTATAAACCGTAAGAGACGAAAGACGACGCTTACGAAGGAAAGCGCTTAACTTTGAACCCTCAAACTGTAGTAAGAACAAGAGGCGACGAAAATCCTAAACCCTAAGCCCAAAACCCCAGACCACCAAGAAAACACCAAACACCCTAAACCCGTGAACCCAAAACTCCAATCTCTAAGAAACACAAGAGGCCGAAGAGGGACAATCCTAAACCCCTGAACCTAATCCATCCAAAGCCCTAAGAACCAAAACCCTAAACCCTAAACCCCCCCCCAAAACCCCCTAAACCCCCTAAACTCCTAAGAATCAAAAGAAACTAGGTTGGCCCTTCAGAGCCTCTGAAAAATTATAAAGATTCGTAAATGGGGTCCTATTAACCCCAATAAGGGGAAATATATATAACATCCCAAAGGCCTACCCAGGAATTTCAGGGCCCAAGAAGCCCCCTAAACCCCCCAAAACCACCCCTTAAAACCCCCCCTAAACCCCCTAAACTCCTAAGAATCAAAAAAAAAAAAGGGCCCAAGAAGGAACCTGGAAGTCTCCCCGGAAGACCGGGTTGACGTACGCGCACTCCAGGCTGTAGCTCTCGTTGTGGTCCCGGTTGGTCTCCAGAGTTTAGGGCTCTCGGGGTTTAGGGGTTTAAGGGGTTTAAGGGGTTTAGGGGTTTAGGGGTTTAAGGGTTTAGGGTTGTTCTCCAGAGCTTAGGGGTTTAAGGGGTTTAGGGTTGTTCTCCAGAGTTTAGGGTTCACGTGTCAAGGGGTTTAGGGGTTTAAGGGGTTTGGGGTTCCGGGGATTAGGGTTGGTCTCCAGATTTTACCGGGTCTTTTGAAGGTTGAAGGGTTTAGTTTGGGGTCTAGGCTTGTGGGTCGTGTTTTTAGGGTCTTTTGAACCAGGACCCCCGCAATGTGGGTATTTAGGGTATGTAAGCGGGTAGTTGCGGGGGTCTCTCAAAGCAGTTTGGGGTTCTACAGGGTCTAGGGTTGTGGGCCTTGTTTTAAGATTGATGCCCCTCGATGATATGTCACCTTAAACCCTTGACAGGCAAGTTTCAGTTTGTGCTATAACTCTACTGAACTTAGAACCCTAGCACAGATTACAATCTGAGCTGTTTCCTAGGGGTTATAATAACCCAAAATTTAAAAATCTTCTACGTACCCCGAAGATAAGTAGGGCTTTACAGTTCAGGGTCCCAAGGCTCAGTTTCAGGCTCAGGGCAACTCGAGCCTTTCGCTCTGAGGAAGGGCACTTCATGTGCGGATGGGGCACGCAGCAGATTTCTACACTTCGAAACTCGATGCGTCCGAGATGACAAAGTGACACAGACATACTATCCAACACAAACCCTCGAATGACCCTCACTCAACCCTAATTAAGACCGAAACCCTATCCAAAACCGACCTTGGATGACCCTCTATAGACCCTAATTGAGCCCGAAACCCTATCGAAAAAATAACCTGGGACGACCCTCAACCTCAACCCTCAGGCCCAATTGTGCCCTCGACTCTCCGAGACCATGAGCCCCGAACATCTTGAACCCAATATGCGTCGGAATTGGAAGCAAACAGGCTCGCATTCTCCCCATAAAGCCCCGTCCGGCTCGCAAAGCCCATTCAATGTCGAACTGCTGTGCTTTCTTTGGGTTCTCTGGCAGCAGATGGGAGAGAGAGTTTGAAGGGAAGTCCAGTATAGCATGTTACTCCCGAAGCCCTGTTCAAGATATTCAGGCCCTACATTAGGGCCACAAAGGGGTTGAGGGAGAAATGCCAGCCTCCGCGTTACGTTAACGGTCTCTGCATGATCTTACGGCTCAACCCACATTATTCGTAGGCGATGTGGGTTGCGAGGCCGTCGCTGTAAATAGTTAGTTTGCGAAAACGTTTCCAAGCAAAGTAATAAAACAGTTTGGTCTTAAAGGCACGATGTGGGCTTGCTGTGTGTGACAGTTGGCAAACACATGTGGGCACGTTGCTTGTGAAATCCGAGGGGCAACAATCATATAGGGGCCTTGATAAATGGAAGAGGGTTTGGGGCCCATTTTTCGATAACTGCAATGAGGAGCCCCCAAAATAGTATTGGTAATTATTTACGCCCCTATATTACCCCAAGACTGCAAGTGTCGTGCCAGGCCTCGAGTGTGACATTGCGGCCGACGAAATCGTACCTTTGATAGTTGGGGGGGGGGGGGGGCGATTGTCTCAACAAGGCGCCAATGTCTTTCAAGAAACGGCCAAACTTAGGTCTGACTACACTGCAAATTGACAGGGTTTGACTTTTTTAGGTGACATGAGCCTTATTTACAGGGCAGCAGTACAGCATCACCCTTACATGGCGTTTTGGGTATGTGGATGCATGCGATTGTGATTCGGTAGTTCGGTATGTAGTGCTTTCAAGGTTGCGCAGACATCCTAAACCCTAGCCCTACGGGTGCAAGTGCGCATATAGTTTCACCCTTGAGCACCCACAAAGCCGAACCCCTTCTAAGCCAATGTAGCCCCGACCTATCAACTAGAGGACTTGGAGACAACCCCAATGCAGCAGTACCAGTCCCCACCGAAGCACCGCATGCATGGCATACTGGAAACTCCGACTGGCTGAGCTACAACCGCTCAAACATCTCAGTGTGTGGCTAGTGGGTAGGCATGGTTCGGATGTCAGAAAGCAGTGATTACCCTATACTCCAAGCTCTAATTGTACCATGTAGGCTCAGGGGCAGAAGTGTCTGAGGAAGCCAAGCGGCTCCATGTAGCTCGTGGTGCCAATCGGACATGGAAGGGGCCTTGCTTGGGATCAGAGAAAGGGTTCGGCGCGAGTAGGTCTGAATGGGTTGGGCTAGGGTTTTGTGGATTCTATGACTAGGATACCCAGTAACCTAAGAATACAAAGGCCTCTCTTATTGGTATTGGGTAACTTTATATGGAACCTAGGAATACAAAAAGGGAATAAGGGTACTACTGGGCATCCTAGATGCTGTAAGAACCGACGATATAAGATTTGTCGGTACACGGTTCAGGGCTCTGTGCTATAGAAAACTAATAACGAGCCAATAGTATTTCTAAGTGGTCCCCTAAACCCTAAACCCCTAAACCCTGAACCCTAAACCCCTAAACCCTAAACTGCAAACCCCTAAACCCCGAAACCCTGAACTCCTAAGCCCTAAACCCCTAAACCCTGAATTATTGCAGATTCAGGCTGGGACTTCAGCTGCTACGGAGTAGCTGCGTCTTCATAGGCCAAAGTATATAGGGACCCTTAGGGCTACGATGTGCTGCTATGAGGAGCCAGATGTCTCTCCCTTCCCAAAAACCCCATTTAGCTTGAAGCAAACACGCCAACCCTAGCACCCCATTTTTTTCAACCCCAAACTGCAAGCCCTAAACCAAACGTGTGTTTCCAGAACTCAAGGAAGGATTGCCGAATCAGCATTAGGAACACAGTTCCTAGTTTGGGCTTTAGTTGTTCTGTGGGTTGCTACACCTCAGCAAAGCCTACAGTTTCCCCATCATGCCTCCAAGAAGTGCTCCGAAGACTTTGCCCGTTCACGCACAGTCGAGAGCAATACACCCCACGCCCAGAATCCTCTTGGCAGTCACAGACGATCCCGGCACGCAAAACTCCATGAAGACTGCAGGAACTCTGTGTAACTGAAGAACTGGTACTGCACTTGAAAATTATCAATGCAGAACAGAGCGCATGATATCTTACATGGTACAGCACAGAAGCCGCAGCACAGTAAGAATACTGTTGCTAGCTAGTCACAAGCAAAGCAAACGGCGTCCTTGTCCCCGAGACCGATGACTACGAAAGCGCTTTGAACCTGGATATGAACCTGCTCTACTGACTAAGGCCGCTGTACTAACACCAGAAAGAACACTTTGCAGGTCCATGGTTTGGGGTTTTTCAGGAATCCTACCTAATTATCAAAGGCCTTTCGTTACCGCAGCCCAATGGGTTCCCAATTACAAGGCCCCAGCTCGCAGCCGCTGGAAGACCCCACGCTGGCGACGCCAGACGTGCCTGGCACTTGAGGGGAGGTCGGGGGCCCTTCCTACAGGGGATCTATAGGAGTACTAAATGGCATCCTTTACGGGATCCTTTAAGTGACCAAATTTAAAGCTCAACTGGACGATTAGGGGTCTCCTGAGATGGCAGGGGCACCGGCAATCCTCGCGGGGAGGTTGCAGCAAGCCAAGGCAGTGCATGAATAACTTGATTGGAAAAACAATGAGTGCGATAATATTTAGCACCACATCCGCCTGTGGAGTCACAAGGTCCTCAACATGCGGTCCAGCTGCTTGGCCGCAGCAAGGCACCTTGCTCGCATGCGGTAGTCCTGCAATCAGCCGTGCCCAGATGCCTGTTACTTCCGATGTGGTTAAAAAAAATAATAATAATAAATAATAATAATAGTATTAATTATTATTATTATTGATGTGGTTAGCAAGCGGGCTCCGTCCCGGTTTGGACAGACGCAAGGTCTCTCCTATGAGGTGCCAAATCCCATTCCTGGCCAGCCTATCAGCTTGTAAAGCTGGTGCGACTCCGCCGTGCGATTCTGGGCCACCGATGAACACGCGATTTTGTCTGCGTCCAGATTCTCTTCGTCTTTCCTCATGGCATGAAATCGGCCCACCACAGTGTGCCTCACTCCGAATGATCTCTTGCCCCCATAACAGCTACAAGGCAGACTCCCGTGTCTATTCGGATCTCTTGATAATGAATGAACCATCCTTGAGACCTTTATAATTACCTATATCCATTGGGGGGGGTTCCTTTATTATACTTATATACAATTTGCCCCAAAACCGTATCCGCAGACGTCAGTTGAGTCTGCTTCTATCTCGCTAAACTCTGAACGCTTAATTTGCAGAAGACTTCAACCACAGCTTACCCCCTGGTCACAAGAAACCTCGCCTGAATCCATAAAGCACTGAGCCGATAGAGCCATAAACCCTAACCCCCCCAAACCCTAACCCTAAATCCTGAACCCTGAATCCTAAACCCTAACTCCTAAACCCCAATCCCCCAACCCCAAACCCTCCAGAGATCCCACTGCTTTCGAAAGCCAACGCTTTGCAGGCTCAGGTCAAGGCAATCAGAACTCCGCACCCAAACCCTGCACATCTTCTATAAACCCCAACCCTAAACCCCAAACCCTAAATCCTGAACCCTAAACCCCCCAACCCTAAGCCCTAAACCCTAAATCCCGAACCCTAAATCCTAAACTCCTAAACCCCTAAACCCCAAACCCTAAACCCCCAAACCCTAAACCCTTCTCAGGTCAAGGCAATCAAGGCTCAAGCTGCCAGTGAACCCGTGCGGACAGTCCTGGTATACTCTGGGCTCTTGATTCTAGGAACCCCCTTTGGGGGTTCCTTTATATAAGGGTACCTTAAGGGTTCCTTTTCGGGTTCTTGATTATAGGAGCCCCAAAGGGGGTTCCTTTAAGGGTACCTTAAGGGTTTTTGAGGGCTTGGGGTTTAAGATACTATAGGGAGTACTTTAAGGTATACTCTGGGCTCTGGAGTAGGGTCCATGTACCCAAGTAGGGTTCCTTCAAGGGTTCCTTCGAGGGTACTATAACGGCTTTATATGGCTTACTGGGCTCTTGATTGGGAATGCAGCTTAAGTTTACAGCTTCAGTACTATCGTAACTTAAACCAAAGTTTCCTTTGAGGATTCCTTCAAGGGTACCATCAGGGTTCTATAACGGTTTTCTAGGGTTTGGTTGGCCCAATGTACCTTCATAGGGAAGGCTTTAAGGCCAGAGTATATACTACTGGGCTTCTTGATTAGGAATTTGGCAAAGCCCACTCTTAGAACCATCATAAAAATGGAAGTTTGAATAGTCTGTTTGGCTTTATATGAACGTTCTCGGTTAGGAACCCTAAGGGTCCATGTACCCAAACAGTATGCACTTTGGACCCAACGCAGCTATATGGGGAGTACTTTAAGGCCAAAGCATACACGAAACTTAGGGGAGTTTAAGTTTAAGCTGCCATGATAATGAATCCCCATGGTCGCTTAGAACATCCTGGTTAGAACCCAAAACCCCATATACATGTACACACAAGAACAAATGTAATATACATATATATATACATATAGATATGTATATGTACATACATATACCTACATACAGAGGGAGACGGAGACATACATTGCCAATTGCACGCTGAATCCCACCAGACGCAGACAGCCGGACGGGTGTAGCATGTCGCCAGTCCGGACGCACATGCCAGAATCTGCGTTTGAAATACGAGCCCACATGTTTCTGAGGACCTTGAATGTCAAGAAGTGCTCCCCACAAAGAACTGATCGTCGGATTAGGATTTAGGGAGTAGGGTTGCAGAAGGCCCCGCGTGGGAGTCGGTCCACATCAGCACTTTGAGAGTGCAGAATCACCTGGTGGCCGGGACGCAAGGCTGAGTGTTTACATGAGTAATATCGGGGCCTTCGTTGGGTCGCTGGGGCCCATTATACTATAACCATAATAAGGGACCCCCAAAATGCTGTATGTATGTGCATGTAAATATATATATATATATATATGTATATATATATATATATACATACATATAGTTGGATTTTCATGTTCACATCTATATGGAGGTGATCGCTGTTTCGAAGAGTTTGGCTCACATGGGCCTCGGTTGCGATGGTCCAGGAGCCCCGGTAGAAGCAAGAGCGGATCTCAGAACGAGAAGTCCCCCCTCCAGGACTTTGAGCTGGACGCTAAGCAAGATGATCTGACCGTAATAGGGACTTTGCTAGTCAGACTCGGGTTTGGGGGATGGCTTTAGACTTTACTTCCCTAGGATACTGGACAACTAAGGTTTAAGCATAACTATACAGGCCCCTTTATTATAATACTCTTATAGATCCCTTATAGTAACCCTTATAGACCCCCTTAAAGGAATCCTAGCTAAACCCTATAGTAGAGTATGTCCCTGCTTGATTTCTTCAGAGGCATGCCTGACTTTGGACAAGCTTAGCTCTTGCAGTGAGGAAAGCGAAATAAAGCTACCTTCTGCACCGAACCAGTGTAGCAAGACATGTATCTCAGCATTCAAGCAAGTAAATGATATGAGGTTAGTAGTTCGAACCCGTAGTGTCGACCAGAGGCCCTCAAATGTTCAGGAGTTGTCAGTTTATCCGTTAGGCAAAGATGGCCAAAGTGAGCACAACAAGCCAATGCCTCCGTGCCAGCAATACAAGTGGACAATGTCCGAAAGTCATGCAACCTGAACCCTAAGTCCTAAACTTGCTTGAGTCCCTAAGCCCCAACTTTAAGGGGGCCTGAATTGTTCCTACCAATCCGTAGGCTTCCCTGCTCTGATGCGCCTTTGGGATAGTATAGGGATGATCTAACACCTCAACATGTGGGAGTTTCCGAAAATCAGGGGTACCTTATTTGGGGGTCCTTATACATAATAGGGATCCTACTATTTAGGGTACTATATTAGGGTCCCCTATTTTCCGTAACCCCCATGTTAAAGGTTCTCTACTCTACAACTAAGAAACAGTCTCGGATCTGAGGTGTGGCCTGGCCCAGTTCGGTAACGAAGAGATTCCAGTCGAGCTCCACCTCCAGCCGCTGGCTTCTCTAGGATTAGGATTTAGGGTTTAAGGTTTAAAAGGTCTTTAGGCTCTGCTCTCTTTCTTCTAATACGAATATCGCATCTTGATGCAAGGGTCTTCTAAGGGTTTCTTGCAGGAGTTCATCTGCCTTCTGTAGGCTTTTGAGAGCTTTGGGGTTTCCTGTGACGTGGAACTATACGGGATTTGCTTTCTTCGCTAGACCCTCAGATGCAGTCGGGAGTTTAAGGCTGAACGGGTTTCTGGCTTAGCGTTCACTTGGAGGTTCGTGGTCATCATAAACCCAAAGGGTCCTACGTACTGTTATGGGGGATACTTCCCTAAGTCATAATAGTACTTCCTAATATGGAAACCTACATTCTACTATATCGGTACATAGGACCCTGGGGAAAGTACTTCTGGAAGAATGACAAAGACGAGTCTCCTAGATGCCGAGGGTTCCCAGATCGAGGTCTTGGGCCTTTATGGGTTCAGGGTTCAGGGTTTAGGGTTCAGGGTTTAGGGTTCAGGGTTCAGGGTTTAGGGTCAGGGTTTCTGCACCCCGAAACTTTGAGGCCCAAAGCCCTTAGGCAAGGAATGTGCCGAGAACAGAAGAAGGATCCTGTTTTTTTTGCTTAGGAATCAGATCTTATTATAGACACGCCTGGTAACCCTTGTAGTAGCTTTTAGTGTGCTCCGTCTTGTATGGGCAAACCTAGGGTTCCCCACCTGGCCCTACAGGTACGACACAGGAAGACCGCGGTGGCAAATGTCTATACTTTGGGTACGGCCCCCATACAGTAACAGTCTTTAATAGGGCTACTATTAAGGGCCTTATATATCTATATTATGAATATTATCCAACTGTTACTGAGTGGGGGCCGTACCCAATCTATACTAGCCAACACCCTGCATCCTCAGCACCATGTCCAAAGGCGCAATGCATCAGGGGCCTTAATAATTAGAATAGGGTTTCCTTTAAACGGCTCCTTTAAGGCATACTATGAGGGTACCATACGGGATTTAGGGATGTAAGGGCCTTAATAATTAGAATAGGGTTTTGGGCTCCTTTACAGTATATTTCTCATCGGGATCCCTCAGGACAATGTTGGTAAGTTTTAGTAAGGCTTCTCTATAGGAAACACAATGCCCAATGCCGTAGCCAGAACCCCGCAGCTACGCTGTTACTACACTACGCAATGGGGCAGTCCAAACAGCGCTATCGAGCATACCACTGTAAACTATAATATCGGCATAAGGGCCGGAATAACTGGAACAAGGTTTGGGGGTATATCCTGCTAGCCTGGCAATGAGCAACCTCAGGGAAGGGTATTAGGGATCCTTCAGGCTTCGATATCATGACCCCTATTGCAGAAGCCCCTGAAGCCACCCGAAATCCTAAACCCGTAGAACTAAGCCCTTAGACGGAAAATCCTAACCCCTAGCATAACCGAAACAACATACCTTCAGGTAAGCCCTAAACCGTAATCCCCTAAACCCTAAACCCTGAACCTTAGACCCTAAACCCTACACCCCTAAACTCTAAACCCTGAACCCTAAACCCCCTTAAACCCTAAACCCTGAACCTTAGACCCTAAACCCTACACCCCTAAACTCTAAACCCTGAACCCTAAACCCCCTTAAACCCTAAACCCTGAACCTTAGACCCTAAACCCTACACCCCTAAACTCTAAACCCTGAACCCTAAACCCCCTTAAACCCTAAACCCTGAACCTTAGACCCTAAACCCTACACCCCTAAACTCTAAACCCTGAACCCTAAACCCCCTTAAACCCTAAACCCTGAACCTTAGACCCTAAACCCTACACCCCTAAACTCTAAACCCTGAACCCTAAACCCCCTTAAACCCTAAACCCTGAACCTTAGACCCTAAACCCTACACCCCTAAACTCTAAACCCTGAACCCTAAACCCCCTTAAACCCTAAACCCTGAACCTTAGACCCTAAACCCTACACCCCTAAACTCTAAACCCTGAACCCTAAACCCCCTTAAACCCTAAACCCTGAACCTTAGACCCTAAACCCTACACCCCTAAACTCTAAACCCTGAACCCTAAACCCCCTTAAACCCTAAACCCTGAACCTTAGACCCTAAACCCTACACCCCTAAACTCTAAACCCTGAACCCTAAACCCCCTTAAACCCTAAACCCTGAACCTTAGACCCTAAACCCTACACCCCTAAACTCTAAACCCTGAACCCTAAACCCCCTTAAACCCTAAACCCTGAACCTTAGACCCTAAACCCTACACCCCTAAACTCTAAACCCTGAACCCTAAACCCCCTTAAACCCTAAACCCTGAACCTTAGACCCTAAACCCTACACCCCTAAACTCTAAACCCTGAACCCTAAACCCCCTTAAACCCTAAACCCTGAACCTTAGACCCTAAACCCTACACCCCTAAACTCTAAACCCTGAACCCTAAACCCCCTTAAACCCTAAACCCTGAACCTTAGACCCTAAACCCTACACCCCTAAACTCTAAACCCTGAACCCTAAACCCCCTTAAACCCTAAACCCTGAACCTTAGACCCTAAACCCTACACCCCTAAACTCTAAACCCTGAACCCTAAACCCCCTTAAACCCTAAACCCTGAACCTTAGACCCTAAACCCTACACCCCTAAACTCTAAACCCTGAACCCTAAACCCCCTTAAACCCTAAACCCTGAACCTTAGACCCTAAACCCTACACCCCTAAACTCTAAACCCTGAACCCTAAACCCCCTTAAACCCTAAACCCTGAACCTTAGACCCTAAACCCTACACCCCTAAACTCTAAACCCTGAACCCTAAACCCCCTTAAACCCTAAACCCTGAACCTTAGACCCTAAACCCTACACCCCTAAACTCTAAACCCTGAACCCTAAACCCCCTTAAACCCTAAACCCTGAACCTTAGACCCTAAACCCTACCCCTAAACCCTACACCCTAAACTCTAAACCCTGAACCCTAAACCCCCTTAAACCCTAAACCCTGAACCTTAGACCCTAAACCCTACACCCCTAAACTCTAAACCCTGAACCCTAAACCCCCTTAAACCCTAAACCCTGAACCTTAGACCCTAAACCCTACACCCCTAAACTCTAAACCCTGAACCCTAAACCCCCTTAAACCCTAAACCCTGAACCTTAGACCCTAAACCCTACACCCCTAAACTCTAAACCCTGAACCCTAAACCCCCTTAAACCCTAAACCCTGAACCTTAGACCCTAAACCCTACACCCCTAAACTCTAAACCCTGAACCCTAAACCCCCTTAAACCCTAAACCCTGAACCTTAGACCCTAAACCCTACACCCCTAAACTCTAAACCCTGAACCCTAAACCCCCTTAAACCCTAAACCCTGAACCTTAGACCCTAAACCCTACACCCCTAAACTCTAAACCCTGAACCCTAAACCCCCTTAAACCCTAAACCCTGAAGCATAAACTCCTGGAGTTTCTGCCTGCACTGTTTGATTGGCGGCACAGCCGACCTCGCAGGAGTTCACGACCGACCTGGGCTGTTTCTGGCGCTCTTCCCTTAACCCAAAGGGTCCTTAGTTGCTGAGTTCATAAGCCCCCAAAAGGTGTACACTTTCTATTTTTTCGTGGGTAATATTATCTGTAAGGGTTTCATAGCCCAAAGGGTCCAAGTAGAATCATAGTAGCTACTTAGTAGGTATATGGCCCCCCAAAGTAGTATACACTATACTATTACTTGGACCCCTTGGGTAAACGGGGCCAAAAATGGACAAAATTCTTATGGCCAGAACCCGCAGTGCCAACAAGGCAAGCAGAAAGGGATCTACATTGAGGTCTAGGGGTAGGATTTGACGGATCAGGGAGTCTAGGGTACATGGCTTTGGGAGTATAGAGTAGCTCAAGCTTGTTTTGGATGGGAGGCTTGCAGGGTTCGGCTTTTAGTGGAGTGCTCCTATACTATCAATGTTCCCATCGTCCTTCAATCGTGATGGCAAGAAACTTGGCATGCGGAACGAATGAACATGGTTCCTGGCGGTTGCGAGAAGAATTGCAACAACCTCGAACCCAGAAAACATGAAGCTTAAACCGGAACCCACCAGTGACTGTGACTGTGCCTACTCTGTATCATGCCCATACTTACAGTAGGTTTCTTGGGCGCCAAGCTCATACCCTTACCTTAGGTCGCCATCTCCATTGTAGTAGTTCCGTGTAAATACAATGGAGGCTACAGGTAAAGCAGAGGAGTATTGAGGTTTGCGAACTCAATATGCCCCTCTTTTAGTGGGGCAAGCACAACTTGGGTCCAATACTTCTGAAACCAGTGCAGGGTGTTGGGGTATGTTCTGCTATACTGTACTTATGTCAAGACATGTAAAGTTGAGCCCAAAAGCCTTTGACAAACCACTTATGGAATGAGGTTGAGTGTTTAGCTCTTCGGTCTTGAGCTTTAATCATAGCAGGCTTGGGACTTCAGGATGTATGGCTTAGGCTCGAAGGTTGGGGCTCAGAAAACAAAGTTCAGTTTTTTTTTCGCATCGGCTTCCCGAACTAAACAAGTATTCTTGTGCACTCTTGAGTGAAACTCCGCTGGGCAAGGGAAAGAATCTGAGAGCGTCGCAGGGTGCCTGTACCTGGAGGGCTTCAGGTTCAGCCTTTTGGGTTTTAGCCATTGATTCCTTGGTTTAGGGTTTAGGGTTTAGGGTTGCTCAAGGGCTTGCTGTAAGTAGAATTCCAAGCGTGTCTTCTTTTTCTTCAACATGTCGTGTCAAGTCTGGTGTGACATCGCCGTCAGCCGTTGGCATTGCCATCCTAACCAGTTCCATCGTCACATTCAAATTATTTCAAGGACCATGGGAAGCCTAGTAGAGTAACTGTTGTAGCTGTTCCTCTTGCATTGAAGCTGTCTGACGGTTTCGAGTTTGCAGGTTTCCCAAGCAGAGGACAGTGAGCGCGCAGGCGTAAACGTGAGGGACCCGTGCTTCCGGCGAATCTGGGGGCCAAGGGACCCCTTTTTGGCCCTTTTAAGCAACTCAAACAGGACAAAAGTCCAGTCTGCTAGCGCAGGCGTAACGCAAACCACTGCTTCAGGGTGCCCAATTCACAACTCCTGAGAAAGCAGCTACATGCACCCTACCTGCGCCTGTTTTGAATTGATCAGAGGGCGAGGTGCTACGGAAACACACCTGGTCCCGTGCTGTCCTCATAATTTGCTTGTGGATCCAATTGCCACCACCTGCTTGTGATATGGTTTTTGGGGCTACAGGTAGTATACCGTAAAGCCTGAGTCGCGAAAAACACAACCACAACTCCAACACCCAGGCTTTACATGTGTCCCTTTATTTGGGTGGCAAAAGCCCGGTAATAACCCAAGAGCTAACCATAACCTAAACCCTAAAATCAAACCCTAAAGCCTAAACCCCTAACCCTGAACCGAAAACAGCAGTGACTCCCTTGCTGAGGTCCCGACTGCATGTGACCTTCGGCATCAAGGTCAAGGTCGAACTACATCGCATGGCGTGGTAATTCGCTTTAAACAGTCGCCGAAAACCACATGAAACAAAAGCCTAAGTCCTCCTACTGTCTACTGCTCCGGATGTAGAGTACGTATTGCCTTGGTAGTACGGCCAGGTGGAGCAGGTAATGGCAACCGTCTGACTCCAAACCCTCAGCCTAAAAGCTCGAAAACCCTGAGACCCTAAGCCCTAAAACCCTAAACCCCTGAACCCTAACCCCTCAAGCCCTACTCGGAAACCCCCAAACCATCAACTTTGAAGCCGTACAACCTGAAATCTATGAGCCCTGCAGCCCCTGCGCCACTGAGCCCTAATCTGCTACTTGGAGGGTCGGGGGACTTAGTAACTAGTCATTTTAGGGACTTGTAAGTACCATAACCCCAATTAGGGTCCCTTTTAGGGTACTTATAAGTCTACTTACTACCTACTTACTAAGTCCCCCGACCCTCCAAGTAATCTGCTAAGAACACCAGATCTTCCTGGCTGCCTCAGTATCTTACAGTAGAAGCCTAAAAGTTGGATACCCAATAGCCTCAATCCGTAAGAGTAATGTATAGGGAATCCCAGCATTATTTGGTCTTTAATCCGGCTTCCAACTTATTTGGTTTACGGTAGAAGCTGTTAGATCCAAGGGTAAAAGGAGGGACCAATAATCAGGACCCCCAGGTATATACACTTAGTATAGCTATTATATACCCATTATATAGCCCATTACAAGGAAGGGGTCCCCATTAAGGGTCCTTCCTTTTCCCCTTTGGTTAGAATCTTAGCAGCTGTTGGCAAGTGCCTACAAACCGCCTGCGACAATCTCACACTCTCAAGCATCCAATAACTCGCCAGAAAAAACCCATACGACCCCTTCTGGCTACAAACCAAAAAACACCCTACCGAATCACTGCACACCAATGGCCTGCGAGGCCCGTACAAGAAAAAAACTATTAAATGACAACCACAGCAGGCTACCTTTCAAAAAACAGTCCGGCTACCTTTCAAAAAACAGTCCCGTAAAATCCCTCTGGACTCCCCATAACAGACTGAGACACCCCAAAACCCAACATAGCCCTACACCCTAAACCCTGAAGCCCCCAACCTCAAAACCCTAGACCCGGAACCGGAAACGACAAAAGTTAAAACAAAAACAAACGAAGCTCAAACTGAAGGCCCCTCGGATTTGAGGAGCTGGCCGTGATCGTGCCCTGGTGATGGGATCCGAAATCCTGGCAAAGGAGCCCACACAAAAAACAAGGGAAGGGCTCCTCAGACTTAGGCGTGCGCTTTATGGGCTGAGGGATTCAGAAGGTTCTTATGGTGTTGAGGTTTTCTAAGACCTTTTGGGCATTGCGAGTCTTGCAATCAACATAGGGGCCTTGGTAATCAGAAGCAGGTGTTGGGGGGGGATATAGTATGGTACTCAGGGCTTCTTAAACCTACTTAGAGGCCCAGGGGACTTAGTAAGTAGGTTATAAGTAGGGTTATAAGTACCCTAAATGGAGTTACCCCAATTATAACCCTACATATAACCTACTTACTAAGTCCCCTGGTCCTCCAAGTAGGTGTACTGCTTAGGGGCGTTAGGGTGACTGAGGCTTGAATGGAACCTTTCGATCTCCAATAGGACCCTGTAATGTAGGGGCCACTTAAATGGGGTTTTGGTGGATTTTAGACTATAACTACTTAATTATAATAAGGAAGCCCAAAAACCTGTTCTAATTCTTAAGGCCCTATTAAATGGGGTTTTGGTGGATTTTTAAACTATAATTACTAAATTATAATAAGGAACCACCAAAACCCTGTTCTAATTCTTAAGGCCCCTACATTATAAGGCCCTCTAATCAGGCCGGCTGGTACGCTGCATTGCTTCACGAAGGAGTCGCCGTCTGCCATGCGGACGTCACTTCGGACCTCGAACAGATTGGCAGAGTTCAAGGATTAGGATTTACCAGGTGTTTGGTAAGGGAGCCTCGAAGGTTCCACAAGCTTGCGAACAACGAACCCCGGTAAGCTCACACACAAAAAAGCACAACTGTGTAGATCACTGATCAAGAACCCCGTGTCCTTTTGAGGAAGATTCTAGTAAGGATCCTCATAGTAAGTCATTAAGCCCTTGAAGAGATGGGATGTGCTAGTCAGGGGGTTCATTACCCAAGGCTGCCCAACGTCAAACCGAACTCTGGGAACGCTGCAGTGACGTTCTGCAGGCCCAGCATCAGCGGAGTGGCGTAGTCTGGCATGCCTTTGGGATTAGGGTCCGGGATGTTTTTGGGGCTTAGGGTTTCGAGTTTGGGGTGTAGACCCTAAACCCAATATAGACCCCAACTATTAGGGCTTTTGTTTTCTGTTGAGAAATTCGGGGTGCTTAAGATTAGGGGAAGTCTGGAGCTGAGATGCTTCAGTTTGGGTGTAAGAGTTGAGAAGGCAGGAGCAAAGACCCACGGAGGAAGACGTATCCGGGATGTTGCGGGTTTAAGGTTTAGCGGAAACTCCCCCATGCGAGCAATCGGTACACAGCCCAAACTTTGAGACCAAGGCCCATGTGGACCCTTAGAATGCAAAGGTTGGAACCCTCCATGCCAAAACCCTGCACGTCCAAAACGAACACCAAAGCAATTAGCTCAAGTAGCTTGGCAATAAAGCAGTCACGGCCAGGATGTACTTACTTTCCAAATTACCCAAGGGTTGACAAGTTCAAACTTTCAGAATAAGCCTGTCTCAGAAGAGCCCCGAGACTTGAGAAGTTGGGTAGTTTGGTACAAACAAGTATAGTATATGCTATTTGGGCACATGGACCCTCAGGGAAACTATACACAACCCGTCTCCCGGGCTCGTGTCTGGGCTTTGCGCATGCCGGCTTGCAGGCGGAGTAGTCGGGCACCAAAGCACCCTTGACACAGGTGACCTGAAGTGACTACACGGGACCTATGAGGAACTTCCAGGGCTCCTCTTACGGGATCTATAAGGTCTCCTTTAATGGCACTTGAATGGATGCTTTGAGCGAGGTATCATACGAGGTTTGGGGGCTATCACGGCTCTAGATTGGAACTGTTGTCTTTGGCACAAACGGTTTAGGGCTCGCGAAGCTGAGGGCGCCATAGGGTCTATTGCGGAGTTTTCGGGGTCGCTCAAGGTCATTGGGCTCGGGGTTTAACCTTACTTAGACTCAGATCACCATAGGTCCGTTCATCGAGGTTCTGGCTGCCTAAACGATTGGAGTAGGGCTTGCCGCTGCAATAGAGCACGCATCGGACATTGCAAGGACAACTCTTCTTGCATCTATATCATCAGACGGGCTTCTGTTATTTGCATCATCGCATGCAGACCTGAAACAACGAAATATCACATCGCCTTCTAGACCCTGCCACCTTAACAATCACCATCGGTACGATGATACGACGATTACTTATTACATCATTCTACCTAATGGAGAACCCTAGCCTGGGGAGCAGCGCTGGAACCCAGAAGCTGCGCTCGAAAAAGATGCTCATACTCAAACCCCGAAAACCCCCCCGATGGGAATCGGCCGTGAAGTATAATCGAATACATCGCATAGTACGTCGAGGAAGGGGCTGCAATTTCATTGTCCCACTCGTGGTTCACCTGCAAGATTATAGCTCGGTGGCTGGCTGGCTGGCCTTACGACATTTTGCAGGTCGGAATCCCTTTGTAGACACATGCAAATCAGATGAAGGGTACCCCATAGCCTAGTCAACTTCTTAAGAGGAATACGTTAATTGAGGGTCCTACTAACCAGGCTGCAAGACAGATTCCAGGCTCCGCAACATGCGTAAACACTGCTGGATTGCTCTCCATATGCTAACACTATGGCCGCACTCCCAGAGGATACCACGAACCTACATCGTAAAAAAACAACGGTTTTCTGCTGGGTACTGTTGTTGAGGCCCACCCCCAATAACCACCCAGAATTATGGTTGCCGTTTTCGTTACTCATGTCTGATGCGGAGACTCCAAAGCAAAAACAGGGTGTTGGGGGACTTCTGTTCGACTTAGATATACGAGGTACCGTGAAGGGTTACTTGGAGGCCCTTTTGACTTAGTAAGTCTACTTAGTATCCCCTAGAAACCCTATTATAATCCCCATAACTTACCTTACTAACCCTACTTACTAAGTCAAAAGGGCCTCCAAGTATGGGTTCAGGGCTCAGGCTGCGGGTGGTTTACCGTTTGGGGATTTAGGTTCGGGGCTTGGGTATTGATATTGAAGCTTATGGATGCCTGCCTTCATGCGAAGCTGGGTAAGCAAAAGTCCTAAACCCCATGTAAACCCGATGTATATCCTAATTACACCCCAGGAGTGGCGGATCAAGCTATGAATCACCATCGTTGGACTCCCAATCCTAGTAGATCCCTACAGGCCTTACAAGCAACTGTAAAGCCGGCGGTGTAAGGGACCCGCCGAAGCATTGAGAGTTCAGTTTGATGCACCCCAGCTCGGCAGGTGACCCAGAAAACCTTGAAACCTACAGCCTCTTCCCATCGCTCTTGTATCTGGTGCTGCTTTGAGTGAGCTCAAGTTAGAAAAGGCACTTGAAACGGACGCCCGCGGAAACACTCCGCATGCGGCTCCCACACCCTGTATACCGAATCTGCTAGGTTCCACACCCACAAAGAAATAGCTGGTACCAGCTCCAGGCCATTCTATACACGAGGCTGCTGGACCTCAAGCCTCTCACATCTTCCTCAGTGCCTCTGCGAACACAAAACCTGGAAACCAAAGCTACATGCACGGGCACGGACCTCGCTGCAGTTCAGTGTGGTCATGCCGCCGTGAGCGATCTGGGTTCAAGAATTTTCGATCGTTGAACTTGGGCTGTTGATTCTTGCAGCTCTCTCATGTGTCTCTGTGTGTGTGCGTGCGTGTCTGTGTGTGTATATATGTGTGTGTGTGTGTGTGTGCGTGTGCGTGTGCGTGTGCGTATGGGCGTGTGGGCGTGTGGGCGTGTGGGCGTGTGGGCGTGTGGGCGTGTGGGCGTGTGGGCGTGTGGGCGTGTGGGCGTGTGGGCGTGTGGGCGTGTGTGTGTGTGTGTGTGTGTGTGTGTGTGTGTGTGTGTGTGTGTGTGTGTGTGTGTGTGTGTGTGTGTGTGTGTGTGCGTGCGTGTGGGGGTGTGTATGTTTTGTGTGTGTGTGTGTGTGTGTTTATGTGTGTGTGTGTGCGTGTGTGTGTGTGTGTGTCTCCAGTGTTTTGGGCTTGTGCTTTTGGAGGGCAGTTTTGAGTCTAAAAACAGCGACTTGAATCTCAGCCCAACAGTCCTTAACACAAACGCGCAATGATCCTTCAAAGTGTCGGGCTTCCGAGACTGAAATTGGTGAAATGCAGGGCTGTCGCGTCAATGGGCTCCTTGTGAAAACAACACTCACTTCAGACCCCGAACCCTGAACCCCAAAAAGCCTGAACCCTAGGTGACTACATGCCGTTGCCCGAAACTCTAGCCTCTTGGACCTTGTACTGGCCGCTGGCGTAAGCAAAACGTATAGAGGCCTGAAGACAAATACATGCCGCGGTCTCAGAGGCTTCAAGACCACATCCTAATATGGCAAGGCACCTCAAGGACCCCCTAAACCTTAACCCCCAAAACCTTAAACCCCATTCTTCTTGCTATTGTTATGATAATCACTGCTGTTGTTGGTATTGCTGATATTACAAACGAACCCTAAGCTTCAAACCCTCCAAAGCATATTAGACCCCGTCAATGACGGCCTCGGCGTCCAGAGCTTTCGTGACCGTCGCATTGCCAAGAGTCATCTGCCAACTCAAATCCTGCGAACCCAGGGTTGGTGCGTCCAGGGCTTCCACACAATTTATCTTGTTATGGCTCCTTATCATGACTTCCTTATATGGGTCCTGAAAAGGTCATGTTTTTCGGGGGTTTAGGGTTCAGGCAGCTTCCAAAACCCCTGAGACCCCGAACCCTACAATAGACCGTGACACCGTTGGTTACAATACTAGTCTCCGAAATAAACCTCTGTGAACCCTAAACTAGCCCCAATAAACTGCAAACACAGAACCTTAAACACCGAAACCCTGAAGCCTGAACCCAAAACCCTGAACCTGCCCGAAACCCTGAACCCACACCTCAGGGCAGCTCCGCTCAGCGCAGGTCTCGGAGCTCAGGGTTGCTACCCCGTCGCTGCAGGCAATGACCTCAAGATCCCGGGATTCTGGTCTGTCTAGGGTTTAATATATCAAAGGGGAAAAGGAGGGACCCTTACTGGGGACCCCCACCCTATAATGGGCTATATAATGGGTATATAATAGCTATATCAAGGGTATATGCCTAGGGGTCCTTGTTAAGGGTCCCTCCTTTTACCCTTGGAATATAGGGGCCTTAATGAATAGAGAGGGCTTCGGGGCCCACTACACTATAATATGATTGTAACAAGATTAACACCCAAAGTAGTATAGGTAATGATTAAGGCCTCTAGTTGTAATAAGGAGCCCCCACAATGATAGTACAGGTACTTATTAAACTCTCTATAGTACAGACTCCAATAATCTCCGACCTTCTTGGATGAAACATAAGCAGTAGCAGGGAACTGATGACAACGGTAATACAAGCGATCATGCTGGGAAACCTGAATCGCATAATGGTCGTCATCACCATCGCCATCACCAAGCAGCAGTACCGCCAGTAGCAGTACTGAAAGTGGGAGCAGTGGTAGTAGTGGTGGTCGATTGGTAGAACACGAGTGAACGCGTGTCCTGCCGTCGAACTGACAACTCAACAGACCAACAACGATAAACAACGCCACAGCAGCCTTAAGCCCGAAGCCCAGAGCCCCTAAGTCCTAAATCACCCTAAAAAAATCCATCAAATCAGCAAGAGCCTCACACCCAAAGCCCCTAAGCCCGTGGCCAAATCACCCGCAAAGCCGGAATCGGCACTGTTGCAGCCTGTACGCGGGATGCTATGAAGGATACTGCTCGGCCGTAGGGACCGCGAGAGAGTCTTTTGAAGCGGTCATTTCGAAGCGGGTTTAGGTTTCGGAGTATGATGTAAGCTGTGGCTTGAGGTTGTCCAGTATTGCTATCGCAGCACATAATGATTTACAGGGGTTCAGGAGTTTAGGGATGTCCAGTAGTGGTAGCATACGGTACAGGAACTTACAGGAATTTTGGGTAGAGGACTTGTCCTAAACCCTTTTTCGGCGAAGATCTCCAACGGCTCTAACCTCACGAGTTGACGGAGTTTACGAGTTTTCGAAGAAAGGGCCCGGTGACCTGTGGCAATCGGAAAAGCCGGTGCGGGTGTGGATCATACTACCTGCCCCATACTCAGGGATGCCCTCATGCACATGTGAACCTCCTACAGAGAACCCCAGAAAGGTGGAATATGCTTTCAGGGCAGGATACCTTATAATATACCATAAAGGGTTTAGGATAATCATATTCCAACTTTCTGTCTTTTACTGTAATCCCCCACAATCCTCCACGAGAGAAAGCCCAAGGGTTGGGACCGCGGGCTCCGAAGCAAAGCCTTGAGCTTCAAGACCCAGGGCTTTTAGTAAGGAACTTATTTGGGAGTTCGAAAATTAGGGGTACCTTATTTCGGGGTCCTTATAATAAGGATCCTACTATTGAGGTACTATATTAGGGTCCCCTATTTTCGGAAACTGCCATTTTAAGTTGCCATAGGAAGGAAACCATACTGGCTAATGCAGATTCCTATAGTGTTGTAACTTGGAACTTCCAGCAAGCTTGGCATTGGTGCCCGTCTACTCGCTCAACGTAGACCCCCTTCAGACGGTTTACAAAGAGAATCCGAGTATTGAGGCCTTTAGAGAAACCAAGGTCTACGACAAAACGCTGCCTACTCAGGCACTAAGACCAGGCCGGCGCGGCAAGGCACTTGAATCACATTTGGAAAGAGGCTCCAATGAGACCCAACAACATTACGGGAAATTTGAACACATCCAAACCTACTACCTCGAAGATCCAGAGCCGAACCCCAAAACCCTAAACCCGTGAACCCCTAAACTCCCCAAACCAGAAAATCCGAAGCCCTCCGACCCTCAACCGGCCTTCCCTCTCAGTCTGGCCCTAAAGCCCTAGACCCTAAACCCTATAGACCCTAAACCCTAGACCCTAAACCCGAAACTCTAAACCCTAAAAGGCCCAAAGCCCTAAACCCTAAGACCCCAAACTCGAAGCCCCGGCCTTCCGTATTAGTTTGGCCGTGTGTAATCTCCGATGACAGAGTCAGGCCTTTTGCCTGCCGCTTGCGGCTTTAAGGTTTTCGGCTTTAGGGTTTTAGGGTTTGGGGGTTTGGGTTTTAGGGTTTAAGGTTTTGGGTCAAGCCTTTTGCCTCGCCGTTTAGAAATCGTCCAAGGGCTTGCGGTTTTAAGGTTTTAGGGTTTAGAGCTTAGGGTTTTGCGGTTTAGGGTTTTAGGGCGTATATATGGACCCCCCAAATGCGGACCAACATGGGAACCAAAGGGGTGTTCTTGTCGGGCTTCGGGTTTCTGTGGGTTTGGGACTCAGGGTTTTTGGGACTCAGGGTTTTTGGGACTCAGGGTTTTTGGGACTCAGGGTTTAAAGTAAAAGCTATATTAAGGGTATATACCTAGGGGTCCTTATTAAGGGTCCCTCCTTTTACCCTTGGAGCTATTTTTATTTTGGTGCTAAAGTAAACGCCAGAAAGTTGGAATATGATTATCCTAAACCCTTCTATGGTAAGTTATAAGGTATCCTACCCTGAAAACCATATTCCAACTTTCTGGAGTTCCCTTTAAAGGATTTAGGTCAGCGGGTTCAGGGTTGAGGGTTGTAGGAGTTGCACCCAAAACCTCTTAGGTAACTCGAAACATTCAAGATCCCTCGGTCATCCGAGTCAATCACTTGCTGGAGAAAGCCTGAACTGAACCCGTAATACGTGCTATTCCCGCGCGGGCTCCTTGCCATGATTTTCTATCCTGTGACTTAGAAGGGTCCCTCACCCTGTAATAGTGGTATAATAGGAATATAATAAGGCCATAGTATAGTCCTTATAATCACTATTACAGGGTGGGGGCAGCTTCTAACCTATGACACAATGGGTACACCCCAGACCCCACGGGTCCTCGCTTGCAGATCTGCCGGCCCGAGGGGTCCCTTGCAGCATGGCTTCCCATGTCCCACTGTGATGAAGATACTTCTGGCCGAAGCGCACAAAGATGTCCATCTTGTCCGGGGCGCCGGGCTTGAAGAAGCATGCCAAGACGGGCATGCCAAGATGGGCAGTTCGTCTCCATCACGAGCCGATTTCCGCCATGCCTCCCGGGTTTTTGTTTGCAGGGTTCTTCCGCCAGGAGGCGGCAGAGCTCCGCACTCCCCATGAAGGCTCAACGAAGCAACCAGTCTCCCGGCCTCAGTTTCAGTGTGCTGTGGTTGCTTCCGTGCGCTGGCTAAGCTCTTGCGACGTGTTCACGATGCAACCCACGTCATCTGCTTCATACTGACAGGGCTACGGGCTATCAGGTTCAAAGGTTAATGAGGTTTAGGGTTTCGGGTTTTGGTGTAGGGTTTGGTACTGCGCCAGCTATCTTACTATGAAGGTCCATTGTAATTACCCGAATCATACTCTCGAGTTCAAGATAGTCGTAATCGGGTTCCTATTTTGCAGAGCGCTTGATTAAACCAACGACCTGGGCTGCTACTGCAACTCCTAAACCCTATACCCTAAACCTCGGCTTAGCGCTTCAATGGGAACCGCGTAGTGAAGGTGCCTTCATCGACCGTGTATTCGGAACCTCCAACACCTTCTATTTGTTAAATGGGTGGTTGTCAAAATTATGGTCCCTTTTTGGGTACCCTAAATATTAGGTGCCGTACTATATTGGGGACCCCAAAATGGGACCATGAAATTGACAACCACCTATTTGCTAAATACAGGCGAGGCTGCTGGAAAGTGGGCGGAGTTAGGGTCCCAGATCTGGTAGGGCTAATGTGTAGCCCTACAGCCTCAATTTTCAAAACCTGAACCCTCAAGCCTGACCCGCCTCCCCAGCGAAGGTCACCGAGATGCTTTGTCCCTGAGTGCCTGATGGTGGAGGCCCGATCCGGCAACCCTTACTTAAGCTTGGAACTGCAAAGCTTGCAGGGTTTAGGGTTTAAGAAGGGGGCTTGTGTCGCCAACTGCGCACCAGCCGTGCAGAACAGTGCTGAATGACCCTCCCTCGAACCCTCATGCCGCAAACTGGTCCAAGAACACAAACAGGGTTTGCTTGCTTTGCTTTCCTTCCGCATCCGGTCCGGGCTACCCTAAACCGCTGAACCCCTCGACTTGCAAACAGAGCCCCTGCTGCCCGGAATCTACAGAGACGGAGGGATGCCCTGAAAGCCAAAAAAGGAACACAGGTAATGTAGGGGCCTTCATAAATAGAATAGGGCTTGAGGTATATGGTACTGTACTTACAAGTAGGACCCCCCCCCCCCCAAATCTTATTCTAATGATTAAGGCTCCTACATTAAAACCCTGGGACCTACTTCAGTGACAGAAACACAAAGAAGAAACTTTTTCGGGGACTTCGTCCTGCCAACGACTCAGGACTAGCGTCCTTGATGAGTTTGATGCCTCTGCTTCAAAGGCTTCGGGTCCAAATACCAAGTTTTCAACGACAAGGAACATCTTTTTCAAGGTTTAATTAAGGTTTAGGGGTTTAGGGTTTAGCATCAGTGTGCAATTGCCAACCTCCTCCCTTCACGATCCAATCAATGATGCTACTCGTTTGGGTATGGATAAACACCAGTCGCCAGGTGTCTAGATTCGTCCCGAGGGCCTCCTGTCATTACGCCTGCTGGACAGGAACAGCTTCGGGTTTGGGGTTTAGGGTTTACAGGCTTTTCGACAAGCGAAACCAATGCGCTGTGTGGCTTGGGTGTAGAGATCTTAGCCGAACATCATAAATTCTAAACAACTCCATACAGCATCGCGAGCAGGACACTAAACAGCACTACAACACTACAACCTGAAACCCTAAGCCCCCCCCCCCCCGGGCTCCAACAAAAAAACATCGCAGTACCACAAAACCGGGTGACACCGTTCCGCACAACACAGACCGCCAAAACAAGACCAAGACACCTTAACCCTAGGCTCTGAATCCCGAACCACGACACCTCGACACCCTGAACCCTGACAGAATCCGTCTAAGACCCCATGCGGAACCCTTCAAACCGAGTCTGGGGTCTCTGCAAGGTGCCATACAAGCCGAAGTATCGGCCTGTCAGACCGTTTCACGTGCTCGAAAGAGGGGTCGAAACAACTGGCAATGCATATTCACAAAATACCCTTTTGTGGGCCTTGGGCTGCAATGTACGGGTCGGAGCAGGCAGTAATACATAGTAATGTTACCCCTTCGGAAGTTTTCGTCATTACATACTACCTACACCAAAGTATACCCCCAGTCTTATTATTAAGGCCCCTATTCTGGTTCTCTAAATCGCTGCTTCACCATAAGCCTGTGAACCCTATAACCTGTCATTTCGAGGGTTGTAAGCTATAACTATGGGCCCATATCTTGCTATTGCTGAATAGACCTGGTTGCAATATTGCATATCTTATCATATTTGATAGGACTCGGTATTGCAATAGGTCGAAGACGGCCATTGAAAGGGATAAGCAGTGTCGACTTCTTCGCGATGGGGCTCAGGTTCAGGACTTCTGCAGAGGGTTTAGGGCTTAGGGTTGATTGATGAAAGGGTTTACAAGTTTCTGTGTTGTTACAGGGATTTAGCCCCACTTGTGGCGGGCAACCGGTTGAGTTCATGCGGTGTCGATTTTTAAGTTGGTCGAAATGCTTGGAAGCAAGCATCCCCTGCAAAAAACCATGTAGACGTTGGATTGAGTAGTCCCTGTATACCTATCTAGTTATGATGCAACTGTACCCTCCGCACCCCATGCGGAGCTGTAATGCTACTGGAAAGCGATATTCCGATATTCATTCTCGCCTGCAGAATCGACGTGTAAAGATTCAAGATTCCCAAGGGCGTTTGAAAGAGAAGGGTGGTCAGAGAAGTTGCAACCCCTGAGTGGGCCCGGCCGTCACTGTGCCCTCGTTGCACGTGAGCACGACGTCCCCGGTGTAGCCTGCTTCCAAAAGGGACCAAGTAATAGCATATTTCATGCTTTCGGGGCCCAAATATCTACTAAGTAGCTACCGTATTGGTACTTGGAATCTTTGGGTTGGGGTTTGGCCTATGGCCTAAAGGGATTGGGGTTTAGGTTTTAGGAGTTTAGGGCCTGGGGGTTTCGGGTACCCGTGTCTCTCCCCTTCTGCTTTGAAAAACTTGGGGAAGCAAGTGACCGGTAATCGGAGATCTTGTTACTCCTCAGGCAAGCCTGGAGTGTTCTTGGTGATGCTTCCAGACTCTGGGTCCTGTCATGGTTGAAGGGCACTCCGTCCAACCAAAGGCCTAAAGCCGCCACATCCGTCAAGCGACGCTGGTTGCAGAACTGCCTCAAGCGGTCTCGCAAGTCCTCCCTACTCGGCAAAATCTGCTCTTGAAGTGCCAGTACGTCTCTGGCCTCGCTGACAAGCAACATCGCATGAATCATCTCATAATATACCTTAAACCACATTAGGGACACTAGTATAATGTAAGGCATCTTCCTTCATGAAGGTTTTTTGCCAACAACCTCATATACCGTAAACCATTTTGACAACCACCCACGTGGCAAGTAGTAGGCTAACATCATCGGCTCGACCGTGCCAGACTTGGGATTCCAGCCCATGACTCTAGGGGTTTCAGGGCTTTAGGGTTTACGGTTTAGGGTGTAAGGTCTATCGTTTGAGGGTTTAGCTCTGTTTCGGCGGTCAGCAATACCCAAGATTTCCTAATACGCAGTCTTGTTGGGCACCCTTTCAGGGTTCAGAGGTTTCCATTGCGGGTTTTGGAGTTAGGATTCAGGGCTCAAGGCTTAAAGGCCTTGGAGTTTGCCGTGTTCACACCCACACCGACTCGACTTTGCCGGCTAACCCCGAACCCGAAAGCGACCGTGCCCATTGTCAGAGTTAGAGCTCTTTGGCGGGGCCTTAAGCCCCAAATGTAGCGGGGCTTCGACAATTCAATAGGGTCTAGAAGAGGATCAGGCAACGACAAATTCAGTCCTTAACAGTACACCGTAAGCCCCAAGCCCGATCTGACCAAACTAAGAATGCCTCGATCTCTCTCTCTCTCTCTCTCTCTCTCTCTCTCTCTGTCTCTCTCTTAGGATCCTCGACTTCGGTAATGGACTTCTCTGGCCATATGCTGTGATAACTGCAATGTTGTGCTCTTGCTCGGGCTTGTATAGGGCTCTCAAGGGTCTTGATGTCAACGCCTTACTAATAAGACGAGGGTGTTCCCACATTGTTGCAGCATCATTAAAGTAGTAGCGACTAGAAAGCAACTAGGTATTCAGAGCTCTTTTCAAACCAGGATATTGGTGAACAGGATTTGCCACTTAAGGGTTTAGGCTTACATGGGGCTTGCTGGCTTCGGATCTTCCAGGAAACTGTCTGAAATCAAGGCACAAGGGCTGAGTTTTCCAAGGGTAAAAGGAGGGACCCTTAATAAGGACCCCTAGGTATACACCCTTAATATAGCTACTGTAGGCTATGGGTCCCCATTAAGGGTCCCTCCTTTTCCCCCTTGAAGTTTTCAGGTGCAAATCTTCTGCACTAACCTGCGTGGAGGCTTGGCTTCCAACGTGCCGTAAAGCCTCGCAACACCTTAACCCCAGCCCTGTACAAGACGACAGTAATTCAGGGCACCACTATTCATTAAATACATTAGCACAGAGCTTTGGAGGGAATTTGCTCGAAAATCGGATAGCCACTAAACCTCAAAGCCTCAAAGCATCACCGTAAGGCTCGAACTAGCCCAAGAGCCTCACACAATCCGGTACGATCATTGGGTCCAAAGCCCTAAAACAACACAAAACCGTCAATTAAAGCTTTGGAAAAGGCGTTGCTTAAACCCAGTGTCCGCCAGTAGCATAGAAGATCACAGCGTTCACTAACAAAGATGTAAAGCCCACCCAGCCCGACCCCAACACATGTAGCCCCAAAGCATGTAAGGCTCAAGATACTCGAAAAGCCGTAGGAGCCATGGTCTTTGGGTCCAATAGCCATCAACATATGTGAGTCCTTAGATCGTTAGAGTAAATGCGCAAGCAAGTTTGTCCCAAATGCTGATCCACTTGCAGCTTCGAGCTTATTTTTTCCTACGTCCAAGGATCCTTGCAACCCTAAACCCTAAACCCAAAACCCTAAACCCAAAACCCTAAACCGTCTAGACCCCTAGTCCGATCAAGGCCTGGTGAAACGTGTTAAGGTGTTGTCTAGGATACCCAGTAACCCCAGAAAAAAAAGGCCTCTCTTTTTGGTATTGGGTAACTTTATAAGGAACCTAGGACTACAGAAAGGGAATAAGGGTACTACTGGGCATCCTAGTTGTAGAGTGGTGAGGGTTTGGGGTCTCAGGGTACAAAACAGTCTCAGCACTCTCCGATGCGCCTACTTGGAGGTTCATGGGTAGTTCTAATTAATAAGTAGGGTACCTATACTTATAGCCCATTTTAGGGGAAACTTATAAACCCACTTACAACTACCCCTGAACCTCCAGGAAATAAGCACAAGCATGACGCGGGCGCCCGAAACGACGCTGCCGCAGGAGACCAGTCCAGTCTGAACCAGAGGCGGTATCGGAGTCCCGGGCTTTTATGTTGGTTTTTTCATGTTGTGGGCTCTTTCATGGGCTCTTTATGGAGGCTTCTGTGGTTTGGGGTTTCTGGGTTGAGGGTTGAGGGTTCTAGAGTTGCTGTTGGGGTTTTCGGCTTTTGGGGGTTTAGGTTTTTGTCGAGATGACCTACTGACAACTAGGCGTCTGTGTTCCGGGACTTTGCATCGAGACTTTCAGGTTGAGGATTTGAGAAGCTCTCTAAATTCGGGTCCCTTTTTAGGTCCCCAATTAAATTATACAGCACCCTTGTAAACAAGAACTCTGAAGGGGGCCCTACTTTAGAGAACTACCCATTTAAGAGACGCGGTCTCAGGAGCTCAGGGCGCTGAAGCTTTCGTGGCCTGAAATGCGAAAACATGTAAGCCCTACCTAAGCCACCGAAAGTAGATTTAAAAATGGCTCAACACATGTAAGAGGCGATTATTCTACATACTTGTGGGGTCATTGGCGACTTCCAAGGGCTCTATTGACTGCTTCTCGGTCGGTTGGGTTTCAGTTGGGGTTCAGAGTCCTTGCTAGGTTCACTGAAACCCTGAAACACAGGCAATTACAGTCTCAATAGGGAGACCGTGAGACCCCAACATAGAGAGGGCACGAAGGTACGAGGTACTAATGCGCGACACATGAGCATGATTTAAGTTTGGGGGGCTCGGTGCATAACTTACAAACTCTCTTGTTCCGTGATGGGTTCTGTCTCTGCAGTCGGAACTAGCAAGATGTGAAACTGTAAACAGGACGTGGGAAGATGCTCTCCTTCTACTAACTTTGGTTATACAGGGATTAGACGGCCAAACAAGCAGTGTCATGACGTGTTGTGGAACCTCCTACACTGCAGAAACGGGACGTTCTCATCAAATGAAAGAACGCGCTGAGAAGGCACGGTGTTTCACTGCAGCCCTCAGCGACTGTTACACCTTCACGGAGCATTTTGGGCCGCTGAAAGTCTCCCACCCCAGTTCTTCAAATGTATGAGAAATGTCCGTATTATGCCGATGTGGTTCGGCACGGTTCCCGACAAGAGGGTAAAGTTTCGGTGGTCGCCTTACAAACGCAACTCCAATGCAGCCGCTTGACCACCTGTTCCAGATGCTGTAGACTCGGCGACCGTGCGACCCAAACTGCTAGGTAGGACACACAATTTCCCAGCGCCAAACGTACTGAAATGGGTTCATGGATCAGGGTTCTGCGTTAGTTAAGCCACCACGCTGCGCCTGGTCGTGCTCAATGTTGGCCAACGGCGAGACCTGGTGCATTCGTGAGGCTTCGCAGAACCTAACCCCAACACATTTCACATCACAGCTTGGCTCCGAACAACAGACCCCACAAGCCAGGATCCCACATGTGAATCCAAGAATCCAAAATTTGGTAATGAATGCGACCGAAACCTTTAAGACCTGCTTGCTCGGGTTTGGGAATGCAGGTGCATGCTGACAGTTGAACATGCGCCAGACGTACAGCAAGCCTTTGGCATTTACTTGACAGGACCTGGCTGTGGGGCATTCGAGATGAGATGGCAGCAGAAAGCCGAAAGCCCGCCACCCGGTGTGCTATGTCCGGCATGCCAGTTGAAATGAGACGAACAGACAAAAACCGAATGGCGAAAGTATGAGTGCAAGGGGCTTCTCGAAATCAGATGTAGATATACATTTGTACACCTATGCGGCTATGCGCATAGATCTGCACCGGAGGGCGAGGGAGAGGGAGAAGGGTTGATTGATAATTTGCAGATTAATCCCTCTCGGACACCCACCGCGGGCTCCGGGGCTTATTGCTTCGGGTTTCTGGGTGCCGGCTACTTGAGGACCGCGCTGCATAGACGCTGCCGCCAATGGAAACGTCAACGCCTGAGCTCGAGAAGCATCATCTAGGTGTCGATCTCAACAGTCCCTATTTTTTCATAGTTAGGGCTCTACATTCAACCACAAGGGGACATTAAATATGATGCCAAATCGATACTTAGTCTTTGTCGGTTTGGGATTAAGGTATGGTTTACAATTTCTACGTTTTTGGTAACAGGGGGTATCACGGCTTGGGGATCTATAGCAGCCAACAGTTGTTTCGTTGCTTGCCTTGTCTTCGTTTACAGCTGGGTCTAAGAACTTACGGTTTCATGTCGGCCTAATTCGGTAGTAGATTTTGAGGCTGAAGGTATAGGGGGTTCAAGTGGTATTGCGCTCTCTCGGCGGGGATGCAAACAACGGCCTGAGATTCTGACACCGGGCTTAAGGAAGTCTGCCGGTTGATTCAAAGCCGGCCTCATCGCCATCGACGTAAGACCTAATGGCCTGAAAGCTCACGCCTTAGAACTTAAGCCTGAGCTCAGCCGCACATCCTTGGGCGCAATACCTGGGCCCTAAAGTACCCATATAGGGACTCCTTTGGAGTCAAACTATACTACATGGGCCTTAATGATTAGAATAGGATTTGGGGCCCATTATACTATAATAACAAGGAGCCCCCAAAAATAGTATTGGCAATCAGTCAGGCCCCTTTAGTATGCCGTTTGGGCACATGGACCTCAGGGTTAGGGCAGACTCCAGATGGTGCAGGTTGCTTGCTGCTTCAGGCACGTGAAACCAGCACTTCTCACTGCATGCCCTAGTTGAACCACCCCTGCTCGATCGGAATGCTAGCTAAGCCTTCAAGTAGACATCAACCCCGAAAGGAATTCTGGGCTGAAAGCACTAAACTCTAGATGCCTTCATCCTAAAAAGCCCTTCAAACTGTCAAAACCTCACGAGCTAAGCCCAACCTTTAGGCGGGACCCTACACCTAAATACTCTTAAATTACCGACCACCGAACCCCTTCTCACTTGGAAGCCAACGCTTCCCCTCAAATCCTGAACCCATAAAACCTAAACCTGAACCCCTACATCCCGAATCCTAAACCCTAAGCTCTTCTTAAAGCCTGCACCCTGCCCCCAACCCTAGACCCTAAACCCCTGAACCCCTAAACCCTGAGCCCTCGACCCTATAGACCTATAGATCCCTGATGGATCCCTTGAAAGGAACCCCTGCAGTATAGATCCCTCTAAGGAACCCTCAAACGAGCCAAGAGGCTGCCCGTGGTGAGGCACAGCTTGTGGCAGCTGTGGCTGTCCGTAAGCCTCAGTGGCTGCGAAGGCTCTTTGGGGGGAGGCTTTGGCCTTTTAGGGTTTAGGGGGCTTAGGGTTTAGGGGGTTTAGGGGGTTTAGGGTTTTGGGCCTTTTAGGGTTTAGTAGTTTTAAGGGGTTTAGGGGTTTGGGGGGTTTTGGGTTTAGGGGGTTTTAGGGTTTTGGGCTTTTACAAGGTAATATGCCACCTTAAATAAAAGCAACCTGGAATCGATCCAAAGAAGAATGTTACCCGGAGCAGCACACGCACCGGCCCCCAAGGCAAAAGCAACGTCAAGGAGTAGTGAAACTACCGGCCCTGAACCTCGAGCCTAACCCCCAAACACTACGACTCACACCCGAAAGCTCTGAACCCTACTTGGCTTGTAGGGTATGAGGGTTCGAGCTTCACGGATTATGCTCAGGGCTTAAGGGCTTTATCGTGTGTCATAATAAGGCGCCAAGGGGATGATTTCAAAATAGCTTGAGGACTCCGATTTGAGATGAAGACTGGGTGACTATGATAAGTAACGCAGCACAGAGGGGAACATCAAGAGCAGAGTCCACAAGAGGAGGGGCAACCAAACAAGCAAGAGGAGCCCCGTCAAGCAACAGAAACAGGGGAAACCTATGTGATTTTGTGGGTTGTGTTGCGATTACAATTGCGACTATGCGTATGAGCTAACGTCAATATTCCATCTTTGTGCACCACGCAGTTGCCCTGGGGCAAGCGCAGGCCGTTCGAGCAAGTCAAATTCAGGATGCCGTGGTAGCCAGTGTCCAACCTCGAACATGGACGGGTGGGGGGGGGCGCTTGCTTGGGGCTTCCTTTAAAGGGGGTCTATAAGGGATCCATAGGCTTTAGGGTTTTAGGGTTTGGGGTTTTGGTGTTTTGGGGTCTGGGTGGTTGTCAAAATTCGGGTCCCTTTTTGGGTCCTTATTATATAATACGGCACCTAATATTTAGGGTACCCAAAAAGTGACCCTAATTTTGACAACCACTCACATAAGGGGGAGGGTTTTCGCTTGGGGTTTATGGCAGTGGCCCTGTGAACGGAGGCCTAGGGACAGCGATGTCAACATTGGGTTGAGGCTTTTGACTTGAGCTTTCACTAAACCTTCCTGAACCCTAAACCCCAAGCCCTCAACCACCAAACCCTAGGCCCCAAATACAGTGCAATCACTGTACAAGAAATGGTTGGATAAGAAATGTGGCGGCCACGGCAGCCGATAGCAGCCGGGAAATGAAGGGTGCCCAAGGTTTTGGGGGTCCTTTCTTATTGGCTGGGCGGGTCGTTTCTTAGTTCGGGTGTTAATTCTCAAGCCTCGAGAACCCCGAGAGCAAAACATGTCGGGGGCTACGTTTCTTATTTCGAGTGGCTTTCAGGTCCTAACCCTGGAAGCCACAACAATAAATGCGCGAGCCCTCTGGAAGCCTGGCTTCAACTCTATAGAATCCTGAAGCCCTTTTCAAAATCGCTTTCAAATCGTGCAAAGCTGCCCTGAACCCTAAATCCTGCGTCCCTGCGTCCCCTGAACCCTGAAACCGAAAGCTTTCATCCCTCAACCCTACAGCCTGACTCCCCTAAACCCCACACCCTCCACCCAACTTCAGACTTGCCTAAACCCTACGTCCCTAAACCCTAAAGCCTAGTTCCCTAAACCCGGCAACACCTTGGTCTCCTACGTGCCGCAGCTTCTCTGCTCCGCGAATCCCGACATGAGCCGTGCCAGCACCGACACATCGTCAAGGACTGGGCGGCTTGCTGCTTGCTTTTTGTTGTGGGCTTTTGATTGGGGCTTTAAGGAAGCTCTGGGGTTTGGAAAGCTTTCGTTTGAGGTTTTTGGTTTGGCATTGTTGTGGTTATCTTGTTCCGGTTGGGGTCTGTACATTCTTAGCACGAGCCAACTCAGCAATACAAACCCTGAGTCCCGCCCCCGAAACAACAGCTTCCTGCGACTGCCCAAGCAAAGTCTAGACTTGACAACCGCAAAGCCAGGTGAACCCGCAATCGTCAATCCTTTATCCCTGACCCTAAACCCTAAACCCTAAACCCTAAACCCCTAAACCCTAAACCCTAAACCCTAAACCCCTAAACCCTAAACCCTAAACCCCTAAACCCCTAAACCCTAAACCCCTAAACCCTAAACCCCTAAACCCTAAACCCTAAACCCTAAACCCTAAACCCCTAAACCCTAAAGCCCTAGGCCCTGAAACCCTGCAGCTTAAACCCTTCAGGCACACCCAACTCGCCCGACCCAAGACAGCAAAACCCAACCCCGTAAACCCTAACCAGAAGAAGACAAGTGGTGAGAGGATGCCACGGACATACTGCTCAAAAGATCTTGGCATGCGGCATCTCAGCCATCTCCGCAATACCCTTGAAACTTAAACCCAACCTCCTTCGAAAATCGCAATACTGGCCCGAAAACCCGAAGCTTGCACAGCCCTAAACCTGAAGAAAAACCCTTGAGAACACTTATACATAGGGTAGGGTCGTAGAGCCCTTATGAACACCCCAGCTCCCTGGTTGTGGTTCGCAACAAAAAGCAGCCCGGGTCTGACGTTACCCTAACTCAAACTTTTTTGGTAACTACCAGTAGGTGTTGGTGTTGCTTAATTTGTCAATGGGAAAAATGCTGGAAACTCTGTGGGCATTTGAATACTCCTCTTACCTCTTCAAAGGCCAGAGGACTAAGTGCGCTACCATCTCCTGCGACCACCACGGTCGTGGTCTCTCCGGGCAGGCACGCCCGCTGGCAGCCCGTGATGTTCGACACATAGGCCTCAGGCAATGCCCATTAGAAGTCTCTAGGGCTTTTCTAGGATGCCCAGTAACCTAGGAATAAACAGGGCTCCCTTTTTGGTATTGGGTACCTTTATAAGGAACCTAGTATAAAAAGGGAATAAGGGTACTACTGGGCATCCTAGTTTTAGGCTTTAGGGTTCCTTTACAGCGTTCATTCATGTTCGAGGGATTACTAGAGGCTTCATGGTTTTAGGGCTACGGTTACGGTCTGGGGTTTGGGGGATTTTGATATGTAGCCTGGAGGTTTCCAGAAATTCGGGGGTTTAGGGCTTCGAGGGTGTTGCGGATTTTAGGATCTCAGGATCTTAGGGTGGGCTTCAGGGCTTTAGGGCTTGAGAGCGGTTTTCGGGCTTTTCGGGTTTAGGGCGCCAGGCTTTCAGGTTTTCAGATTCACCAATTCAATCCAAAGGGCCTGGGCGATATTCAGCTCCGTCTTGGTTTTCGCAGCATAGGCGACCGCTAAACCCCTAAACCCTAAACCCTTAAACCCCCCTAAACCCCTAAACCCCTAAACCCTCAACCTTCCTCGCCATTTTTGATTTGCTCTGCCTTCGGCGAGCTTGGACTTCGAGGCCTCGCACAAAGAGGCGCAAACGTCTTCCATCTTCGAGCACTCGGATCTCTCCGAGCTCCTCCTTCATCTTCTCGGCTAAGGTTTAGGGGTTTAGGGTTGCAAGTTATAGGGGTATAGGGGAAAAGCATAGCTTTTCAATTCGCCTGAATGCTCCCCTGCCAAGATCAATCTTGGAAGTGGAAGGTATTCTGTGCCACTGTGGCATGTGAACCCAAGGTTTGGACTCCTTCTGCCGGGACTGCTGGAGGACCTAGGGTTCATGGCTTAGCTACCTATGAAGAGTTAGGAGATACCGCGGCCTCCAGTGGGGTCTTATAGGCACATCGTGATCGAAGATCCGGGCGATTCCTCATTGCAGCGTCGACACCCGATTTTGATGCAAACGCGGAGCCTAATTCGGAGAACTCCCCACATGGGCCTTGACCACCTTTTACCAGGCTCAAGTCCTTGTTTGAGTCTCTAATCATAGGCTCCATAGTAGTTCCTTTTTGGGATTCATAGTTAGGATCCCAAAAGGTAATCCCGAAAAGGAAGTACTGTGGAGGCTATGGGTAATGATGGACCTGCTAGAATCCCCAGAAACGAATGCTGCATGAGTTATACACGACAGCTTCAAAAGGTGAAAGGGTCGAACGTAGGGTCCTTCATGCAGAATATCGCTGTGGTGTGTACGGTATACAATCATGTACACTACTAGACAGAGACTGACTATCCTCAGGGATATGTTTTGTATTCAGACCCCTTGTAGTATCCAACAGCAAGACACGCATGTATAGAGAGGCCGTAGCATGTTAGGCTAAAGCCCTGGAAAAGTCAAAGGCGCACGAACGGTGATACAGCCCATGTCTTTTCAAGGCAGATGGGTGATGCAAAGGTGCGGCTCTCAACCCTGGTCCATACCCAATGAAAACTGTCGAGGCTAAGACATACAGCAGCCCAGTGCCCCAAACCGCTGTTGCCCTGAACCCGAGTTGTTTCTCTGAGACTTCAGCGCCATCATCGCATGTCAAGTAGGCATTGCCGTCGAACATGCCTGAGAAACCCAAACAACGATGTGGCCTAAAGCCTAAGCCCTGCAACCACACCCTGAACCCTATAAAACCCACGAGGACCTCACCTACAGAATCTACCCCAAACCATATGCTAAAGAATCTTCTATATAGGTTAGAATTTAAAGTGGAAGCCTGAATCAACGGGGTTTGGGGTCTGCAGGCGAGGTGTCAATCTAGAAGACTGGTAACCAGACTAGCTTGTCGTTTTCGTTTTAGGGGTAGGGATTAACACTATCATGCAAAACAGTGCTATAGCTGTAGTGGGGAACCGCAAAGGAAACCACCTGCAACCACTCTGACCCCGGTGCATACGTGTACAGCCTTTGTAAGAACCTGACAAGCCCCAACAAACCCTTCCCAATATCAACAAAGCACTCTTGCAAACCGAGACTAGGTAAATCCTACAAACCCTGTATCAAAACGTTGCATTTGCAGTTTGCTGCTGATCAGGGTTTCGGGTTTGGCAATCTCGTAGCCCGCCTGAACCATGAGAGTAGGGTGGGCTTTACAGTAAGGTTTACAGCATAAGGCCTTATGGTGCCAAAAGCCCCTCAATTCTAAACCCCTAGACCACATGAACCCAGCAGCCTGAACCTCTCAACCATGAAGCACCCTGAACTACAGGGGCCTTAAAAATTAGAATAAGGTTTTGGGGTCCAATGGTCCAATATACTATACTTATAATCAGGACACCCGCCCAACACCAAAAATAGTACAGGTACTTATTTTGCCTTTAGACCCCTATAGAACACCTTTCTGCTCCCATGGATGACTCCAAGGGGCTGCTAATGAAGGTCGCGCAAGGAATCATGGACTCTGACCCATGGATGTCAGTGTCCTGGCATGCTTTTACGGGTCCTGCAAGGGTACCTTTAAGGGTTCCCGCAAGGGTCCCTTTGAGGGTTCCTTTAAGACAAGGGGCTCCTTGGGGTCTGGAGGGAGGGGTTTACCCTAAGGCCCCGAAGTAGTTCCGTTTTGGGGTTCATATATAGAATCCTCTAAGGTAATCCCAAAAAGGAACTACTTTGGGGCCTATGGGTAGGGTTGTGGGCCTAGGTCCTCGCATTCGTTTGATCTCTCAAAGTGGGGGTGCACGAGCCTGGCTTTAGGTCTCTTCCGTTTTTCTACGGGCCTAAAGAATGACCTGTACTGTTTGGGGGTTCCTGATTAGTAGAATAATAGTATAATGGGCCGCAAAAACCTAATTCACTTATTATTAAGGCAACAATAGTATATGATTAAGCTTGGGGGATTGATTGAGTAGGAGAGGCATAGAAGAGTTGAAGCACTTTCACCGCAGTCACCTCGAAGCTATCCAACCCCGGACGTACATGTAATTCACGAACATCATCCGCAAAGGAAAAGCCACGGCAAGCACTAGGTGCAGCATCAACTGAACCACAAAAAAACAGGAAGGGCCGCCCCTACCTTACAAAACCTTCCAGTCTAAAGCACAAAACCCGAAATCCTGATCGCTCAACAGACCGCATTCGTTTCGGGTTCAGGGTTTATGCTGGTGCAAGGCTTAAGGCTACCATGCTTGCGCCATCATACAGGCGAAGTTTATAGATTCAGGGTTTCGGGCCTTCTTGTAGGAACCCTTTGTGCTTTCCAGGAAGCCATGCAGGAGCCTTAAAGCTTGCAAGGAAGCCTTTACGGAACTCTTTCTAACGGAAGGATTCAAGCTATGACGGAGCCCCTAAAGCAACACGATGAAGATAGCCGGAGGCACGGATTCGGTGGCATTGCAGGGAGCATTGCAAGCCTCGAGAGGCTTCAGGAGAACCGGGCTTAGCATGGCTTAGGGTTCTCTTGGGCCTTGGGGTTTAAGGTTTAAGGTCCAGGGCATGGCTTAGGGTTCTCTTGGGCCTTGGGTTGGGTTCAGGGTTTAGGGCCCAGGGTTTCATATTGGGGATTTGGCTCATCTTGTCTTTCTTTTGACAAGCCCGGCCATCTTTGCCCTTCTTGGCCTTGCGTGGCGCTTGACCTTGGCCTGGGAGCATTGTGATCCCGGACCGTGCTCGAAAAGGCCTGAGCATGTAGCGGCGCAGCATGTTCACTTCGAACTTTGCACCGGCCATCACACACTTTACTGCGACGGGCTTCAGCGATCACCTGGATAAGCCCAACGACCTGAGACTGAATCTCGTTCAGCTGGGTTCGCTCGTCATCTGAGTCATGATCGGCCTGCCCAGAGCCTCCAAAACCCCTTAATTAAGGCATATACCTTAAATCATATTAGGGGGCCTATAATAATTTAAGGCATATTCCTTAATTAAGGGGTTTTGGAGACTCTGGGTGATCAGCCTGGAAGCCAAAACGACCTGGGAGATTGCGGAGGCAAAGCCGGCAGAGATGTGCACCAGCATGGCAATCTCCGCAGCCGTAATGCGGACCATGGCCCAAGGGGTGTGGGGCTCCTTTCGGTTATGGGTCATGCAGGATTTATCATAAATCCTGCATGACCCATAATAGGGAATATATCATAATTCCCATAGTGTAGAGTCCTTAAGGTAATGCAGGATTTATATCATCAACCGTTTGGGGGGTTTAAAGTTCCATCCGGGCGCGGGGTTTTCGAAGATTGCAAGACCCCATGCCTCTGAGGCTTGAATGGGGCTTCATATATGGGAGTTTCCGAAATTAGGGGTTCCGTATTTTGGGGTCCTTGTAATAAGGGTCCCACTATTTAGGGTACTATATTAGGGCCCCCAATTCTCGGAAACTCCCATATGTGGTCGTCTGATTGGGCTTTGAAGGTTGTAAAGGACATGTCTGGCATGACCCCCTTGGGAGTAAGGGCACTTACGCTCGTCCTATTATCCGTTCATGCTTGCAGAAGAGGTCAAGAAACACAAAAGAACAAGGGGTCCGTAGATTCAGAGCCATACAATATGCGGATTCAACAAGGCTCCCCGCCATATGCCTACAGACCCCAAAACAAGCTTTGGTCTATATAGTATGTATATATATATATATACATGTATATATATATATATATATATATATATAAGTCGGATCCATGGAAATCATGGGCCTTTCGGGGCTTGTGCTGTTGGGGCCGTATAGGATTTAATTAGGGAGTTCGTATAGGTTTCGTGTTCTCTCCGCAATGAGTTAGGGTCCATGGACGGCAGCAGAGACATGAGTACTTCCGCGGCTCTTGCAAAAAGAGCCCTAGGCCCCAAACCCAAACCCCAATTGCTAAGCCCTGAACCTAGGTTGACCTCCGGACTACTCAAGACCCCCATAAGAGTGCTGCTGGCCGACCTAGGCACCGCAATTTAATTCCACTGATTGAAAATGTGGGCCGTAATGTTTAGAATCGGGTTTGGGATTCTTAGAAGGACCACCGCCTAAATGCTGAGGTCCCTGGCCCACTGGGGGCTTGGTGCGTTAATTATCGTAGGGGTAGATAACAGCATTGCGAACCATTGAGAAGTCAGACCGCTGCAATATGTCGCTTAGGGCCCGGGCAGATGCATTGGTCCTGACTTGCCCTCCGATGCACGTGTACGAGATCTGCGGGGCAGCCAAGGAAATCGTTTTGTAAGAGGGGGGTCAGATAGGGGGTGTTGGCTTTGCAACCCCAAGCCTTGAACCCCAAACTTGGGCTGTAGAGTTCAAGGCCTTGAAAGTGTTAATGGGGGCTCGATGATAATATGCAAAAACTGGGACCGTGATGGGCCCGTACTGCTCATTTCTCTGGGCTTCTATATGCAATCTAACGGATGAAATTTGTTCTTCGGGGATCATGAGGGTCACCTCAGGGTCTTGGGATGGATTAACTGCCACGGTTTTAGGATCTCTATCTTTCATTCAGGTAGGAGTGGGTGGGAACTTAAGTTTAAGGTGTGAACACAGAAGCTCGATCCTACGTCCGAAGCTCCAAACCCTAAAACCTCACAAACCTTATAGACCCTTCTGAACCCTTATGCGTCCGCAAACGCACTAAGACCTTGAACCCCGGATTCTCTCTGAGCGAAGCCTCGCCCACGAGCTCTGGCTGAATGATGGAGCAGTTGTCGTAGTAAACTGGGCATTTCGATCACAAGGTTTCGGGCTTTGCGGTGTAATGTAGAGCTTCGGCATCTTAACAAAATAATGGGTTCAGGAATATAGGACTTAGGGCATTTAGGGTTTCGAGTAACACACCTGTGGACCCGGAACCCCTCAGACGTACTTAGGGGTTGAATAAGTTACGAATGCCACAAATGCCCTAGCAAGTGCTCCTGAAAACAAGCACATAACACATATACGACTTTCCTGATCCTTCACATGGGTTCTTCGCATTTCGGGCTGAGGGTTTAGACTCAGGGCTCGCGGGTCCCTACCGGAGTCTCCTGCTTAGTTCCGTCATTGGGTTTGCTTGTCTCATGGCAGCCCCCAGGCACAGCATGTAGCCTGGGAGACTTTTCGTTACCAAGTAGCTTCGGAGAAGGTGGTTTCGGGCATGCTTTTTGATTCCAGGCCTGGGTTTAGAGCTCTGCTAGGTAAGGCTTTTAAAGCCTTTAAACAATATTGGTAAATAGGATCCTCTTAAGCCCAATAAGGGAAAATATAAAATGCCCCAAAGCCCTACCTAGTCTGGGTCTTGGGTTGATGGTTTACGGCTTGTCACGGTCTAGGAATGATGTCAGGGATGATTTGGTCGCTGCTCAACTGTCTCTGAAATAGCCAGGCTTTCTCAGTTAAGGTCCTCGGTCCCTTCAATAGGACATTTGGATTGGAGCAACATTCCCAGGTGATCTGTTGATAAGAGTTGCGGGTTTAGGGCAAGGATCCAGGGGAACTTATCGACGTTAGGGAGCTTGCCCGAATTTGGGTGCATGGCCAGCCCAGGTGCAGAAGGCAAATCACCTAAGCCTTGCATACGAAACCCTAAGCCGCAAAGAACCAGTCATACGAAACCCTAAGCCGCAAAGAACCAGTCTCTAATATCGCCGCTGAACCACACACAAGCTATTTCCTGAATCACCAATATACCATAGCCATAGCAGGCCCAAACCCCAACGGGCTCAAACACAAACAACAAAGCCAGAGACAGATCATCTGACTTAAACCTACAGAGCAGTAGACAGTAAACTTTACCAGACCGTCATACCAATCGAGCAGCCGAAATAAGGAGGCAAGGTCGGCTCCGTTGCGGTGAAGTTCTCCTGCCATGTTGGCGGCTCTTCTCACTTAGGAGGTTTAGCGCTGCCGGCTTGGGATCTATATAGGCTTCAGGCTTGCGCTCACGTAACTGTTCGTTCTCAAAGAGCCGGAGCTAGAAAGCCCAAAGAAATTGCATTTATCAAGGACTCTACCATAAACATAGAAGGAGCCTTAAATCAACTGAGTTTTTTTCTTTCCGCCGCGGATCTCGTTGCCACTTCATAGCAACTCTCGGAGTTGGGACAACATGACGCAACGAGTGGAAGGTCATGGTGAGGCAAGGACTGTAGTTTAGGTCCTGCCCCCTTACAGTAAGAGTCTATAATAAGGCTACTACTAAGGTCCTTAGGTTACGCATATTATTCAGCTATTACTGAGTGGGGGCCGTACCCAAACTGTAGTAAACAAAGGGATCCCAAGGTTGAGGATTTCTCAGTCAGGGCTCAGGGATGCATTGAATTCGTGGCTTCGGGATGATTTCGGGGGGTCCTCTTCAAGCTGATGGGCTCCATATGGGTGGTTGTCAAAATTATGGTCCCTTTTTGGGTCCCCATTATAATATGGCACCTAATATTTTGGGTACCCAACATGGGGCCATAATTTTGACAACTACCCATGTTGGCTGTTCAATAGGGTTTCGTAAGTTTTGCAAATCCTGGCAGGGTATCTGTCAGATTAGGTGGTTGCCCTGGAGTTCCCTAAGCGCTTTCAACTTTCGGGGTTTGAGGTTGAAGGTTCTATAACTAACCAAACCCCCAAAACCCAAAACCCAAAACCCTAAACCCTAAACACTAAACCCTAAACCCCAAACCCCCTAAACCCTGAACCCTAAACCGTGAAGGTTCTACAAACTAACCACAAGGGCCTGAAGCCCTACCCACCTGGGCTCCTAGCCGTGTTCGCACCTGTATAGGGGTATATCCTACAAAAACGACGGTCAACTGAAGGCCCCGATCAAGGAATCTTCGAGGCATCAGCGTAATATAGGGGCCTGAATAATTAGAATAGGGTTTTGGGGCCCAGTATATACTAGGATACCCAGTAACCTAAGAATAAAAAGGCCTCTCTTTTTGGTATTGGGTAACTTTCTAGGATTACAAAAAGGGAATAAGGGTACTACTGGGCATCCTAGTATATACTATAATTACAATAAGGGGCCCCCAAAATAGTATTGGTCACTATATATCTCGGCCCCTGCAGTAGACTCTGAATTCAGATCGTAGAGTCCTAGAGTCCAAACCTGCGGGGTGCGGTGCTTCCGTGTGAATTCCATCGCGGCCACATAAACCCCAAGGGTCCATGTACCCATAGAAAGATACATGAGCCCCAAAGTACCTATATAGGGACTACATTAAGGCCAATGTATATACTATATGAGTACATGGACCCTTAGGGAAAGCTCAGAAGGCCAAACAACCTCACCCTAAACCCGACGCCCCAAGCCCTAAACCTCGAAGCCACAAACCTAAACCCTAAACACAGCGGCAAACCGAACACCCCCCTAAATACAAAATCCGATGCAAAACTGAGCTATAGCACCCTTATCTAGGAGCCCTAAGCCTCCAAACCGAAACCCTTAAACCCGACCTTACCTTGAGCCCCCCAAACTGTCCTCTGATATACCCCAAAATACCCACGATTTCAGGAACATAAGGGTTCTATTAACCGGCACCTGGGAGATCCTGCTACACCCTTATACCCTAAACCCTGATAAACCACGCTTATGGTAGAAGCCAGAAAGTTGGAACATTAGTATCCTCATGACCTTAAGGTTAAGGACAAGGGATCCTAGCACTAATCCTCCTAAACTCATGTTCCAACTTTCTGGCCTCTACTGTAAAGGTTCCAGGGTTCAAGCCCTACTAAGGCGCAGGCGTCATCCATCCTCGGATCTGGGCCTCTCACCGGGGTTACTTGGAGCTTCATGGGTACCTATAAGTAGGGTTCCTTTAAGGGCCCCTTTAAAGGGATCTATAGGGATTCTATAAGGGTATAGGGTTTAGGGTTCATGGGTAGTTATAAGTGGGGTTACAAGTAGGGTAACTATACTTATAACCCATATTAGGAGACTCATAGCCCCACTTATAACTACCCCTGAACCTCCAAGTAGGGTTTAGGATTCGGAGGTGCGGATGTGGGATTTGGGTTTTTGGCTTATGTTCAAGGGTTTGGCTTCAGGGCTTGGGGTTTAAGAGATTTAGGGCAGGGTCTTAGTGATCTCCTGCTCTCTCTTCACATGTGTCTGAGCGTGGTGTGGTTCTTGAAAATGTTCTGGGCGAAGTTACGCGTTTTTATCACTTCTACCGAAAACAAGATCTCAGGTCCATGTACATGCCTCATCTACCTGTAACGATAGTTCTCGAAAAGACTCCACATCCGCTTTTGTTGTCTCGGTATGGGTGTGCTAGGAGATGCATCGATTCAAGCCCCCGAGCGCATACAAACGACCTTGAAGCAGCCTGCACTAAAGGCTCTAGTCCGTAGCCGTTGGCGTGATCCTTTGGCCGTTGCTCCAAGATTCACCTCATCATCGCCAGCCGCTCGGTAGAGGTCAGCTTGCTCGAATCGTGGCATGGCTTTTCTTGTACTCTCCGGTTCGTTGCCAACTGCAAGTGCAGCTCAGACAGTTTCAGCAGCACAGGACGCGGGGTGCAGCATGGGGCTCGTGCCCGCACGTCATTACACCTAGGAATTTATAGTCTTGGTGTGACTATATTGCCGGGGCATACTTCGGAGACGCCTGTAGCTCTAATCTTCATATACCCCGAGCCACGGCTAAGGCTTGCAATCTTCAAGCTTATGCATATCCTGGCTTGAAACTCTGCCGAGGTCTTCAGTAGAAGCCACAACACTGATCTACACCCTGCAGGCATCCAGCCGCGAAGCACAAAATAACTGAAAAGAACCGGAGGGGAAAAGTCCGAGACCTTACCCGCAGGACCCAAATATTTACAACAGAAACACTGCTCGGGATACCGAAGCTGAGGATGGCTAGTATTTCACTGGCTTTGGGCTTTGGGTGTTGTGTTCATCAGATTTCGGGCCCACGGGGAATAGGCTGGTCAGGTTGGGTGAGAGGGTTTTGATGCCGCACCGTTCTCCTACTTGTCGGGTATCATGGGGAACTAAAGGTTAACCTTTTTGGAAAAAAGAGATAGAGATGGGACTATACTACCCAAAAAAGTTAAAGGTTTCCTACTCGACTACTAGGTCTCGTCGGCCAAACCCCAAAACCCCGAACGCCGCACAGCCAGGGACAACAAAACACACGAAAATCCGTGGACGTCTAAAGCGAAAACTGCAAACTCCGAAAGCCCAAGCAAAACGCTCTCTTGGGGTTTACGCTTCTGGACCCATGGGAAGCCCCAAGTGGAAGGACATACCTTACATCAAAGTCTCGAGGTATGATCATTCGTGAGAGGCTTTTAAGACATCACTGCATCGGGCTCGGGGCGCTCGAGGATCTCTAGGTGGGGCTTTTAAAGCCGTTGAAAAATATTAGTAAATAAGATCCTCTTAAGCCCAATAAGGGAAAATATAAAATGGCCCAAAGCCCTAACTGGATCTGATATTTGGCGCCACTATTTTGGATGCTGGGAGCTCGAGGTTTGGGGTCTGAGGAAGTTTGAGCCTTTAGGGTTCATGGGGCTGATGGGGTTTAGGGCAAAGTTTAGGGTCTTATGGATTTAAGAGTTTTGCATGTTTTGATGCATTGAATCTTGAGCTTTCGGCTTCCGGCCGCTCTTGCGTAGAGTAAGGAGCGCACATGGCAGAGGAATGCAGGCTTCCCCAACCACCTGAGCTGTCGCCAAATAAAGACAGCAAGATGGGAAGAGAATCGCAGTTCATAATATAGGGGCCGGAACAATTAGAACAGGGTTTTGGGCTCCTTTATGCTAGAATTATGAAGAGGAACCCTAAGGAATAAAATATTGGTAACTATTTAGGCCCCTAAGGTAAAAGCCAGAAAGTTGGAATATGATTATCCTAACCCTTCTATGGCAAATTATAGGGTATCCTACCATGAAACCATATTCCAACTTTCTGGAGTTCCCTGTATAGTAGGGAAGACGCAATTTGGGATCAGACCCGCGGGCTACTCGAAGCATTGCATTCATCATGGAGGTCTATCCCCCGATCTGTCTTTTGATCTCTGTATCTTTTTGGATGTGCACATAGTGCATATATATATATATATACACAGAACCACATTCGTTCTTCTGCCTAAATGAGCACGCGGGATTTAGTTCTCTGATTTCGGGTACCTGCTTGGGTCCCCGAAACTGTGCGGCACGCTTAAAAAAAAATGACTCTGAAAAGGGACCCTGCTTTAGACGACCACTACCCAATGACAGGGTGTCTGCATAATCATTGTAGGGCCATATAGAGGACTAAGTAGTTACCAATACTGTTTTGCGGGTTCTTTATTGCAAGCAAAGCATAATATACCCCCAAAACCCTATTCTAATCATTAAGGCCTCCTCCCGTTTTAATTAACATCATCATAACAATAACAATATTCGAATCATTACGGCACACCCTTGTAATCAAGAGTATGATATTCCAGCAAAGGCACGCTGGACACGTCGTCGATGCACTGCACATCTATGGTGCCCTCGTATCCCGGCCAAAAGGCACCTGAGACAAGTCGTCAAATAAGGGCCTTGTTAAGATTAAGCTGCTTTGCGGCTTAGGGTATAGGGTGCTTTGGGGGTTTAGAGTTTAAGGTGCTTTGTTTTTTTTTTTACGGTGTTGCAGGTTTAAGGGAAAGGCTTTAGTTTCATATGTTTATATGTGATAGGACTTTGGCTTTAGTCGGAGGGCTAGCAAAATCGTTGGCTTGGCAGGCCATCGGTTGAAAAGGCCTTGGACTTACGGTTGATGATACAAATCCTGCATTACCCTTAATGAGGGATGTACCATAAATCCCATAGTTTAGGGCCCTAAAGTAATGCAGGATTTTTTATCATAAACCGTAGCATGTAAGGAGTGCCTAACACCTCTGACTTGACGCTTTAGCGCATCAGGGCTTTGCGGGTGTATACAGGCTCTCAAGTTGGGGTCTTGGGATTTAGGATATAAGCCGAGGTAACTTTGTACACAACTCTTGGATGAGGGAATAAGTTAGTCTGTAAGAGCGGCCGGAGATAGAGAAACCCAACCCCAATTCCCAAACCGTAACCCCGAACGCTGAACCTTAAAACCCTAAACCCCAAACATAGACTTCGGTGTTAGAGATAACAGGTTCAGAAAATAAACGTGTATCCTTCAGAAGACAGGAGCACATGGGGTAGTTCTCTAAATTGGGGCCCTTCTCAGGTCCTGAAACAAAGCACGTTACCTTATACAAGGACCCTGAAAGGGACCCTACTATGGAGAACTACACATACATGTATAGGTTGAGAACCCAAGTCCAGCTGGATGAAGAAAGAAGGAGGATAGGACGGTGCTGATAGTCGTGATGGGATGTTGTTAGTGCTGTTTGTCAGAGTGCTGACAAAGTGGCAAACGGTCCTCAAGGATCCCAAGTCGCAAATATGGGTGCCGTCATGGTAGGAATAGGGTTTCGTGGTATGCTACACTGTAACTACATCCGGGAAAATCTCAGGCATACAATTGCTGGCTCTTCCGGGCCCTATATTACATAGTCGACGGTGGGCTTCTATGCGAGGCATTGGGTTTAAAGGGCTTCAGATACTATGTATCCGTATACAGGTACTTGGGCTCCACTCTGTTCTCGATACACCGACACCAACTTCCGGCCGAAAACTCCAAGTAAGGCCGTGGCTGCAATTTTGGGTCTGAGTCCTGTTGTGCCTGGGCTCTTCAACAGACTTTAACGGGGGCATCTTGGAGAAATCCGCATGGACACTTAGACTGTGATTGACCGCACACCCTGAATGCCACCATTCCCGGAAAAAGCTTCGTCCTACAGCGGTGCCATGCGTGACGTTGCTTAAGGACGCGATGCACACTCAGAAATTGGCTCGGGTCTGGCGAGTGAACAGTATGATAAGATGAATATGGTGACCTTGAAAAATCCTTGACAACAGCAGTGAAAGGTTCTGGAAGCTTCGGGAGCTCGCGCTTAGTCACGAGCCCCTTAAACGGAA